GTCAACATCTATTAGCAACAGTTATTCTTGTTAGTTTTTTTTTCTGTTTAGGAAATGCATAAAATCATATAAAAACAAAAATCCAAACCTTTTGATAACAATTTTTATCTATAAAAATTTGTTTTACTGGTTGGATCTCCTCTCAGCAGTGTTTTGGGTTATTTTTGGAGTTTCTGGAAAGTGTTCTTCTCAAATATTTTATCACAAAATTCTGCTTATTTCAGATACATTAGTAGAGAATTGTCTACATATCTACAAAACATAATACTGCCCAATCTTGTCAACAATAAACTTCACCTTTGAATTGACTCCAACTGACACCCTACCCTTCCTAAATATCATGTTAGACAGAAACAATGAAAACTTCAGTTTGAGGTTTACAGAAAAACTACTAACAAGTTTGACTTGGTCAATTTTTACTCCCACCGCTGTAACATGATCAAATCGGAAATAATTATAGGATTCTATTTAATAGCACTAAGAATCTGCAGGCCCCAATACTTCCCCAAAGAAATATACATAAAAACACTTTAAAAAACCTCCACTATCCCAAACAATCTGTCCAATCTAAACAACATCAAAATAATTACAACCATATCCAAAACTATTCTGGATATGATCAGAACCAAAATTACCAGTTTCATATGTGCTAAATCGATGGAGTTTAAGTTTGCAGGATATTTTTCATTATAGTCAAGCAGACACAATAAAAGTTTGTTTACCCAGAACAACAACAATAATAATAATAATTCTAAAGCAGGGATATACAAAATAAATTGACAAAACTGTTCTTCACAATACATGAAAGAAACTTGGAGAAATTTAAAAAAAAAAAAAAAAAAAAATCTATGAACACAAAAGAGACCTTATACATGACAATTTATCAAATACATTAGTCATGCATAGAAATATATTCAGCCAAAACTTTGATCTGATGAATGCCACACTTATAAAGAAAGTAACTTAGAAGGAAAATTCTCAGAAGTTATCTAATCAAAATATAAATCTCTGACCCTGGATTTTTTACAATATCTCTTTTCCTGAAAGAATTACTACTTTCCTAAGCAGAAATGCTTAAGAAGAAAACTGTTAAATCCATAACCTCATGTTATCATTTAAAACATAGATCAATCCCAAATAATTTGAGCAGTGATTTATTTTATATATATATATATATATATATATATATATATATATATATATATATATATACACACACACACACACAAAATCACTTGCTTTCATTTATTAGACATTCAACTGTATCACCTAATGTCCACCATAAACTTGGCTGATTTTTCTGTTAACCTGTTGAATATTTTTTAGATATACCCTATATCTAATTTTGTAAACCCAATAACATTTTTGCTCTTGAAAATAAGTACTTGTCACAAAATAAAATTCTTACATTCACCTTAATAAACTCGCTCAGGATGAAACATGTCAGCTAAGATAAGAGTTTTCCTTTTGTCTTTATTCACTTGTGTGTGTGTGTGTATATATATATATATGTGTGTGTGTGTGTGTGAAATTGGCTAGATTATGTCTAAAAACATTTTTAAAAAATATTTAAATTTAAAATTCTTGATGTCACATCAACAAAAATATCACTTTAATCCAATGAAGTCCTAACTGATGAGGCACATCACATAAAACGTTTTCCATCTTGTGATTTTTTTTTTTTTTTTTTTTTTTTTTTTTTTTTTGAGATATATGATTTTTAAAAGGAAATTCAAACTTTGTCTTGCTTATTTTTGCAGGAAATTTGAATTACTATGATTTCTTTTATAACTGAACAGCAAACAAGACACACACACGCACATATATATATATATATATATATATATATATATATATATATAAAATAGAGAATGAAAACAAGCTAACCTTGAATCCTTCGATTCATAATAATGGCACACATCTAGTTTCAGATCAGTAGGAACCAGTTTCATATGTGTTAAATCGATGGAGTTTAAGTTTGCAGGATATTTTTCATTATAGTCAAGCAGACACAATAAAAGTTTGTTTACCAATAGTCGTAGTGAATCCTTGTTAGCCAATGTTATAAAACAATTTATCAAAATAGAGGTTATTTGAAAAGATTCTGGTTTACATTCTTTGTCTTTTTTTTTTTTTTTGTTACCACTTTAAGCCATTGTCACTTGGAAGTTAGAAATTGTCATTATTTGGAATGTTAATGCAAATGAAAGAAATTGTAATATCTCCTTTCCTCATCAACAGCTGTTTGAAAACATCTATGTTCCATGTCCCTTCAAGATGTGGATGATGATTCTCCACAAGTTACTGTCCTCTGTAGCTCTTAGTAAATTTTTATCTTTTCACTATCTATGCTAATCCCTGTTCTGCCAACCATTTACACAAAGCTCATTAGGGAGGTTATACACCGCTTTGCTGTTTCTCTTGCCTTCATTATATCCTGTCAGTCCAAAGTTTTCTACATCCTGATATTAAATGTTTCCTTTTTGTTTCTATTTTCTCTAAAACTTTGTCATGGCTCACGTGTTTAGTCTATGGTATTCTCAGCATTTTTCTGTAGAACCATGTTTCTGTTGCCTCTAGTTTCTTCGTCTGTGGTGAGATTGTCTAGCATTCACTTCTATTGGAGGATTGATATTATATTACACAAGTACTCTTTTCTTTGTTTCTAATGAGATTTTCTTGTTATTTAAGACTTAGCTTTTGGAAGGTATCTTTCACTATCTCGACATGTCTTTGGATTTTGGTGGCACATTTTTTGTCATTTGTCAAAACACTTCCTAGATATTTAAATATTTGTACTTTTTTTTAATTTTGGTCTCTCCAATTTGTAATTTGCATATTGAGTTGTACATATCTAATGTTAAGATAATGACCACCAATAATGAATCCTGGTAGGAATACTAATTCATTGGGGGTCACCTCACTGTAAAGGTTGAATAAGTCCGATGAGAAGACACATCCTTGTTTCAAGTCCCCTCCTATTTTTGTATATTTACTGAATTCATTTTTTGTCCATATGCTGCACTATGAGATCTAGTTTATTCTAATATCCTTCCCAAATATATTGAGCTTAAGTTTTTTGTACTTTATCAAACACTTTTGTATAATCTATAAAAAAAAAAAGTATATGTCCTTCTGCATTTGTATTGCACTTTTTGATGTCATTCTGAGCGTAAATATCACATTCCTTGTTCCAGTGTCTTTAACAAACCTGCACTATTTTTGTCCTTTTTCCAGTCTAATTCTTCTATGTGCTCTATTCATTGAAATTCAGATATGTTTTATTATGTGGCTCATTAGGCTGATTGAGTTCACATTTGTTTGCACCTGGCTTCTTAGACAGCACTATAAAAATGGATCTACTGAAATCTTCCAGCACGATTGTTGTATATTTCGTTTATTACATCTGTAATTTTGCCGGCATCTCTATTAGAATTCTATCTGGTTTTTTGCTTTGTTCCTGTTCAATTTGGCTGGTTCTAATTTCATTTCATATTTTAATATTTCTATGTATTGTCTTTTGTAGAAAAGTCCTCAGATATATTTGTTCCATTTTTGGAATATTTTTTTCTTTCCCTAATATTAGTAATTGCAATTTAGGAGCCACCTTGGCCCACTTCAATTTCTGTAGTTTCATTCTGAGTTTATATGTCACTTAAAGTTGGTCACTCACATAGTCAACACTTGGTTATGTTTTGCAGTGCCTTTTATTGACCATTACATAGTTGATTTGGTTCTTTGTTTCTTCTCCATGTTCATATATATCTTAGGTGTTCTTGAAATCAGATGCTGGTTATTTTCTGATCATTTTGCCATTTACCACTGGACCTATGTTTCTCTACATTCATTACAAGTTCCTTGTCTGAATTTGCCAATTATTTCATCATCTCTCTCTTTCGCTATTTTGGTATTCTGGTCTCCTATGACAATTGTAATTTTCTGTGATTTGTATTGAGCCATGACCTTGTCTAGCATACAGTAAAGCATTTCAATTTCTTCAGAGTTTAAATTTATGCATAAAGATTCAGGAAATTACTCAAATATTTTTTTTATTGATGTCATTATGTATAGATATTTGTTGGGCGATGTCAGCTTTGAAATTAAAGAGAGAAGCCTGTGGTGAACCCATGAATGTTAACTGTCATTCTATGTCAGTTATTTGTTATCCTCTTTCATGAATGACAGAGGTTATAGCTATTTGTTGCAATTGCTTGAGCAAATAATTTAGCAGGACCTGGATTATCCAGATGCCTGATACATTTTATTAGTTTTGGCATACCATAAAGAAGAGACAAGAGAAATTTATCTGGAATTGGGACAAGATGCAAGAAGCATAAATATATTGGATGAAAAACATGTGACTAATGAAAATTTGATTTCTAATGACTTCATTTCCTGAATGATTCTTCTGCTAGTTTAAGCTTCTTTAACCATTCTCAATTTTCTGTCTTAAAGCAACTTTTTTTTTTTTTTTTTTTTCCATTAAAAAAATATTTTGCTTCTCAAACTTTTGAGGAAGACAAACATGTAGGACTTTGTGCCTTTGTCTCAAGAGGTCAAGCTTTAAATATTAACTTTTGTAGTTTGTCAAAATAAATCTATTGAGATGCTAATCTCAAAGTTAAACAGCCACAATAAGGCATCTCTCTTGGATCTCATCCTGACTACTTATTTCAAATTGGTTTGAATAAATAAAAAAAAAAATGAACTGCAATTTATTTTCTTTGTATATGATTTGTTGGGTCAAAGTTTAACCCATTTTGCCAAGTCTTATATAACAGGAAAGGTTTATCAATCTAACAATTTTCAGTTTTATTAAAGCTTCATCAGAGAATGAGATAGAAAATATATGTACATACAATAAATATTCCTTTAATTTCAATTTAGATGAGATTTTTCTGAATCTTAGTAAATTTGAAACTTTTTAAATGATTTCATTGTGCCTTTATTCTAAAGAAAAAAAATTCTATTCTTTTTTTTTTTTTTTTTTTTTTCCTCAGATTCCTCTTTTTGGAATCATGTCTTCAGACTCTGCCGATCCATTTTACTGGATCCGTGTAATCCTTGCCTCCAACAGAGGAACCCTAATGGAATTGGGTATCTCTCCAATTGTGACTTCTGGTCTCATTATGCAGTTGTTGGCTGGTGCTAAAATTATTGAAGTTGGTGACACTCCCAAAGACCGAGCACTTTTCAATGGGGCCCAAAAACGTAAGTATGATAAATGTTAAGTAATAAAACTTCTTTCAACTGATTTCAACCAAATTTGACACAGTTACTGCTAATGATCCTGCGGAGGTTTTGATGGTGCCAAAAATTGCTTTGTCAATATTTAAATCAATATTTTTTTTTTTTTTTTTTTTTTATTGGACGCACGTGTGTGTATTTATGTGCATTTACTGCACACAAGCAGATATAGGCACTTTTCATGTCAGAATTAATGGCGGTAGCATAATTAGAAAAAAATCAGATTTAAGTGCTTATATGGGGAAAAGAAAGGACAAGAATGGCCATATTTTGGTTTCAGGTGCAATAGTTATCACAATGAAGGATTTCTGTTGCAGCTGAACTTTGCGCTCCAAAAGCCAATCAGATTAGTGTTATTAGTCATGCGTGGCTTGTGCGATGCATAATGCTTGCTGCTGATTGGCCCATTCACGCTCCAGGGTCATGCGAGATCATGTGTGAATGGAGGGAAGGGGGTCATGTGTGCATGCATCAAGCATACCAAATGGGGTAGAGGTTTCAGGTAGCCTACTTTTATTTCAGGATTTAATGCTCATACCATGGTTTTTAAAAAGGATCTTTTAATGTTTCACTGCAGGCATGCATTACTTTCCATGTTTTCTGCATTTGCACGGTAAACATCAAGGCCATTTTAAAAGGGATTTACAGAGCTACATGTCATCGGTAAAAACAAGGTGAAAGTGCTGCTTTTTAAGTCTTTGTAGCCCATTTAGCTTACTAAAGCATAGGATTGAATTCAGTGAGCATTCACTAACACATTTCATGCCACTTCACGCCACCACTTTTAAGCCAAGTGGACAGAATCGGCTCTCCACAATTGTCCAGTTTGTCCAATTTTTCACATTTGATTGCATTTTTTTTCATTTGAAGGACCACCGGGGGACTATTATGTCTTTTCATGCCGTTTAAGTGTAGCAAAAGGCACCTACTCACTATAATTTTACTACTGCGCATCACTGCCCAAAAAAGTTCTTGTACGTTTTATCTAAATTTGTGCTACTTAAATGCCTTCATCATCCATCAATAAACAAAATTAACATTGTTTCAAATTTTGTTCGTAAGAAGTGTAAAAACGCTTGTATTTTCAACTTTTGATCAATAAAACTACCTCATATCTCCTGGCTGCTCAAAATTTTCAAAGTAAAATGAAACTTGAAAATCCCATTTTCTGATTGGCTGACTTTGAGAGACTGCACTACATCGGTGACAACATAAATAAAAAAGGCAATGCCTACTTTGGGATAAGGAACTACATAGCTTTCATATTTATCAATAAAAAACCCGATACAATAAAGTCGCCAGATACTATTTTGAAACGTCATCCGCCATTGTGCACTGCTTTGACTAACCCAGCTGGAGGTTAACCAATCACATCAACTGTTCAAGGTTGCTACGAGCTCATTGGCACGGTTGCAAGCGTTTAACCATGGGTCCATCCAATCATATGTGCAAGCAGTTCTCTTACGCAAACGTGTGCACATGCGTATATATGTCACCTTAGTATGTGCGCTCATGGTCAACTGGCCAACCACCTCTTTATACCATAACTTCATTTGCTTCTTACGGAAACCGTAAGTTGTTGATTACATATCCAAACTGGTTTTTTTTTTTTTTTTTTTTTGTTGTTGTTTTACTTACTAGTTATAACTACATCCGTTTCTACGATTATCAAATTTACTTCCCAAATTACCTACTACCGTTTTAGCTTTAGTTGAATTTTTTAATTTTTTTTTTTTTTTTTTGTCTTCAATCTCCTTTTGATACAGTTACATACATTTTTGGCATCCCTCTAACCTGCCTACGTTTAGACTACACGCATTTTTTGCACTCAAAAAACCTACATACCTTTTATTACGTTTGCCTTTTTAAAATTGGTTAAAATGCAGCCTAAGAGAAGAAAACTTTTTGGACAGTGCACGGCTGCTGCCTCCGCTACAAGAGCAGCAAGGGCAAGTGAAACCACAGAGCAAACTTCGTTGAGCCTTTCTCAGATGGCCTCAAGCTCTGCTGCCCACATCTCCATGGAAAGTACCACTGAACGGACCGAAAGGCTGGCATCAGTAGCATCAGTTATGTCATCACAACGTGCTAGACTTTCAACTGAAGAGCATTTAGTACAGAATTCACAGGACGAAATACGCTTTTCTACGGTGTTTAAGGAATGCCAGCGCTACAGCATGTTCTAGAGCTTTAGAAAGCCCTCAAACCACTTCGCATCGTCTTAGGAATGCTAAGGCTACAGCATCTTCCAGGGTTTCGGAACATACTCAACAAACTGCTATTTGTCGTTTAAGAAATGCCAGTGCTACTGCGTCTGCCAGAGCTTTAGAAAGTCCTGTGCAGACCGTCAATCGTCGTTTGAGGAATTCCAGATCTACTGCGTCTGCCAGAGCTTCAGAAAGCCCTGGGGTACGGCGAGCACGACCCGACAATAAGGGCCAAATCACAAGGACAGATGCCCAGCGTCGCAGGTCTGCATTTAGGTGAACAGTGTTTCGTTCATGGACAGCTTTACGTAGGCTGCTCCCAAGTCAGGAGTAAGGATAACGTTTACTCGCCAGCAAAGCTAAAAATATTACCCATGCAGAAGTCCTACAGCCCATGGTCAGTCATGTTTAAACACAAAGTACACACCTTTGTCAGATGCATCGCATGTTCCTTCATTTTTTAACCCTATTTATTTAAAGGTTATTGTAGTATCCACTTGCCATTACTAAGACCTTTCATTAAAGGTTGTCTTGCTCACCAGATGCTCCTTTATCACTTAAACCCCACTTCGCATTCGCACTTACCACGTAACCATATTCAGTTGCAACGCAAAACCAATACGCAGGAAGGTGGATTCGTTTAATTGTGAGATGTCGAGTGCGTTCACACAATTCAGGCCTCAACAAGAAGTGGGATAAAAAGAATAGCAGCATGCAGAGTTATAATATACATTCTCTGCCGTACACCGTTGGTGTGTTTCTTCCCTTACCATAAGGGCTGTTTTAGTTAACGCTACGTGCACTTCATGCTTGCCTCAACTGGCTATAAAAAACTACAAAAAAATTTGTGCCACTTACAAGTACTCATCCCAACACCTTCCTATACTTCTGTTTGCGGTAGTGGCAGCGCTGTCTTTTGGGCAAAAGATGCATCTACCTTTCACATTATTGTGTTTTACTACGTTGCAACTGACACTGGGCTTCATGTAATGTCTTGCACTCTGGGATAATAAAACCATTCCATCGGAATACAAAGCCATCTGCCACAATTCACGAAAAACTTCCTAAGGCCCATGTTCGTATTGAACTTGACAACTTTTAATTGAAGGTGTCTTAGTAATGGCAAATGGCTGATGCTACCATGGCTGTCCGTTGCTTCCTTTTAAGCCTTACAATTTTTTCTTCCGTTGTGCTGATGAATACTGACAACTTGTGTACATTACGTTTTTTATGTTGGCGGCCATCAGTTCTACTAGACTTCAGCCTTACATGTGTGTATAAAATGAGTATGGCAGTTATGACCTTCCATTCAGAGGAAGTTTACTCTCGGGCAACACTGGGCTTTACTGCTAGTGTGTATGTATATATATATATATATATATATATATATATATATACACACACACACAGTAATAAGTGAATTTTATTTTGGCGGACACATCTTTAATTTTGATTGCATGCTACATCTTTTAATTGGGCCTTTTTTTTTTTTTTTTTTTTTTTTTTTTTTTTTCTTCCCTATGAGAAGATAAAAAAATGACACCTCCTTCCATCTTTCTCCCAAATCCAGCTTAAATTGATAATTTCAAGTAATTACAATAAGTGTTACCTATTGTTAGCTAATGCAAATAAATGGAAACAAAAAAACTGGTTTCTTTCCCTGCGATATCACTTATTTGAACACAATTAATTTTGGTTCTGATCAATAGCATCAAAAGCATTCTTTTCTGAACTTTTGACATGAAATCTTTTTATTGTTTTATGTATTCAGGCAATTATTTTTTTAATACATTCCATAAAAGATGAGAAGCAACCTTCCTCAGTTGACTGCAGCATCAAATGTTTAACATTCATTTTGTAGTCTTTTATTTTTTATATGATGTTCAACACACATAAAAGTAAATATTATGGTCTCGTGTATCAGAACAATACTGTTCTTTGCTTGATTTCGAATATAGAAATTTTGTGGGCCTGTAGTTTTTTTTTTTTTTTTTTTTTTTTTTTTTTGGGGGTCTTTATGCTGGGAATGAATTAGATGGTAATTCAAAATGAAGCATAAATGGTAATGAAGTTAGTAAAAGCCATGATTGTGGCTGATGAAATATTTTTTCGGCATGTTGCACAGAAATTCAGATAATCGCAATCACTTCCAGAACCATTATGGATATAATCAGATCTAGAAACACCCATATCAATAATATTTCAGAAGCAGATATATATGAAATAAATTGCCAAAAATATTCCTCACAATACATTGGCGAAACATGCAAAAGAAAAATATTAAAAAATATGTCTATGAACCCAAAAGGAACTCATAAATAACAATTTGTCAAATGCGCTGGTCATATATAGAAATAAATTCAACCTTTTTTTTTTTTTTTTATGCTACACTAAAAAAAAAAAAATTCACTCAGAAGGAAAATCCTCTATAGTGCTGCTATATTGAATATTATCCAAGTATTAATCTATGCTTCAGTTTTTTCACAATCTCATCTCTCCTAATGGAATCAATCTCCCAAGCCAACATGCACAACAAATATATGAAAAAGTCAAAAGAAAACTGAATCCGTCAACACAATGAGCAATATTTCTACATTTGAAGAATTCTCTCCAAACATAAAAAGTAAATGACAGAATTTTTCAGTTGACCAAATGGATATATGAATTTCAAAATTCTATTAACTAATAACATTTTGTTTTTTGTTTATAGATACTTTGTTCAAAGAAATTCATTTCGTTTTTTTGTTAAAAAGTCCACAGTGGAAGAAATGTCAGCTAAAACTACATACAGTTTTCCTATTGTCTTTTTCCTTTATACATAGTCTTTTTCTACAGATGTATTTCGAGGAGAGATATATATATATATATATATATATATATAACAGTGGCCCTTACTGCTATATTTAGCTAAGTATCCCACATAATTAGGAGGAGGTCTTCTCTTTAAAGTGAGACTTTTCAGCTTATGACCTAAAAAATTAACTTCCAATACAAAACCTGTGACATGTCCTTTGTATTAAGTAGCCATTACTTTGGTCAGTTCAGGCAGATTCAGGTTGTGGCCGACATAAAAAATAAAAATTAGTATACTTGTCAGCACTGGATTTATGCAGTTTTTTTTTTTTTTTTTTTTTTTCACCCCCAAGCAAGGCAATATAGCCATTTAGATGCAAGGAGTTATTGGGTGCAAAAGAAGAAAACAAAGCCTTATTAAGGATAGAGTAATAAATGATTAGGAAACAAAAGTTAACAGCTGACATTGCTGTGATGTTCCAAGAAAACATTTTGTCATTTTAAAAACATTTCTTATCCAAAACTGATTGCATGCTTCTTTTCCTTTTTTTTTTTTTTTTTTTTTTTTTTTTAGTTTTTTTGGTATGATTATCACCATTGGTCAAGCTATTGTGTATGTGATGACTGGAATGTATGGAGACCCTGCAGAAATTGGACCAGGTGTTTGCTTGCTTATTATCATCCAAGTAAGTGAGTCTTTTATATAAAATAAGCAAATCTGCTATTTGTACATGAATTTTTGGGTGTTAAGTGCATCCATACACAATAACAGCAGACAATTTATTTCTGTTTCAATCAGTCGAGTGAGCTTTAACTCTGGCACCAGAAATCATACTCCATCCCCCTTGCTCACTCTGTCTTGTGTTTTTCTGCCAATCTTTCAAGAGAGAAATCCTTGCTTTAATTTTATGATGAAACACATATCCTGAACCACTATTCTTGTATATGTTACAGAATTATGAAATTTTAGGTAAATTTATGCAAAGTTTTGTCCTCTCTCATTTTCCTAGATTGTGTATGTCAATGTGTGGGTCTATGGACAAAGCTATGAAGAGTACAAGTGAAATTTTGTTTTCACTTCTATCTTTAATGGTACTTTCCAAAATCAAAAAAAGTTTATTCCCTCTCTTCCATTACCAAAATATGACCTTATAGTCTCTAACTTTCAGATTTCTGATTGTAGGTTTGTTGCCATAGCAGCAAAAATAGCACATTATAGCAAGACTTTTATTGGTGAAAAACCATTAAAATGATCTAACTGTAAGAAGAGAGCAATTTGCAATTGTGTGAAGTTGGGATTTGTGCTTGGGGATATGATGATCTTTGTCAAGGGTAATAACTCCTGGTAAATTTTCTGCGGAATTATAAATTTTGAATGTTATAGTAAAACAGCAAAAACTGCAAATCATAGCATAAATTCTATTAGGGCAGTACTGTTAAAATGTTCTAAACTTTGGGGAGGGGAAGGATTTTCAATTGAATTTGTGATTTAATGTAGGATCTACATTTGTGCTCCCCAAAAATGATCTATAATATATTTTAAAACTCTAACAAATACCAATATATGTTATTTTACAACATCTGCAAATCTTCCAAAGAATCTAATGCATTGTGAAGTGGAATAAAGGAAACTGATTTGGTCTATGCAATACTAGGTATAAATGCTAATTACAATCTAAATTCTATATGAATAAATAACTTGGCACTGTGCTTTAAAGCAATTAAATAATTATAAAAAAAATCCCCAAATTCTTTTCTTATAGATGTGGATAAAAAAAAAATGTTACAAGTTAATTCTAGCAGCAATGAGGAGTATTTTCACTTTGATCAAGGAATGAATTTTAGGTAGAAATTGAAAATTGTTATTAAGCAGGGAAAACAAATTTAATGTAATGTCATGGGATGTTGGGGATAATGGCTTTTGGTTACCGTATTTCTGTGTATAAGGCAACCTTTAGATGAGAAGGTAAAAAAATATAGCAAATTTTCATGAATTTATCCCATGCCTGTAGTATAAGAAAATTGTTTATTGATTATATAAAGATGTTGTTGGAAATTTTGTTACTGTATCCTTAGAAATTCAAAATGAATGAAATAACAAAACTAATTCTTTATCATGTTTTTCTTGCACACGACCCTTAAAAGGGAAACCCTTGTTTTGTTTACATTTCATCATGTGATCTCTTGTGAATACTGATTCTCCTCCTTCCTTCCTTATATCGAAACAGTTACAAATAGCCTGGTGTACTAATAGCCATTTAGTTATGCTTTGACAATCACAAAATACCACTGATAACAGTATGGTATGATAATAGTACATTCCATTGCTTTGAACTCGATCATAACTCGATGTTTACATTTTCTCAGCTGAACTTGCATGGATACGAGTTGATTTCAGTGATATGGAATTATTCTTTGACTAGGCAATTTATTATGAAGTTGTGCCAGTAATATATATGATAGAAATGGTTTTATTACTTTTATTATCAGTTTATTTGATTATGTGAATCTTTTCATGTACATTATTGGTTATTGCGCCAAGGCCAAGTTTAGCCTACCAACATCACTCAGAATTTAAGATTTCTTTTTTAGAATTGTAGTATAAGATGGTCCCCAATTTTTAAGGGTAGTTTTGGGGATTTAAAGGTCTTATACAGTATTTTTTGATGTAATGATAAGTAGAATATTTATTCATTCAAATTACTACAAATGATTTTAATAGTAGATTTAGTTGTTAGATTTCTGATTACCACCCACAACATAACAAAAGTTTTTTTTTTTTTTTTTTTTTTTTTTTTTTGTTATACTTTGTGCCAGAAATATTTAATGAATTTTTGATTATCTTGTGTTTGAAAATGACATGGGCCTAAAAATTGACTGTTATTTGGGTGGTGGGTAAATTGGAAGTGAATGCTAAATTTCTCTTCTATTTTTCAGTTGTTTGTGGCTGGGTTGATTGTCCTTCTCCTTGATGAGTTGTTGCAAAAAGGCTATGGACTTGGTTCTGGAATTTCTCTCTTCATTGCCACCAATATTTGTGAAACAATTGTGTGGAAGGCATTCAGTCCTGCAACTGTCAACACTGGCAGAGGTAAAATTTTAGCTCCTTTCACATTTCTACAAAACCTCAATAAATTACTTTATCATCCCACTTTATTCAGAGCCTTTTAAACGTCATTTAGGTGGTATTTAATTAATATCAAGTAAATATAAATTATTTCTTCCTTTTGGGACAAATAATCAGTACAAGCAGGACCTGAGGAAATTTGACGGTTATTTTTGAAAACTATAAATGGGAGAGTGAACATTAATGGATTAATGGTTGCTTTTGAATTGGTTGGCATAAAGCAATTCTTGAACAACTCTTTCCATTTTCAAAGATGATAATATTATGGGGTGCATGAAAGGCTTCAGTTTCCAATCCCTTATGATCCTCTTCTTGATAATTTGCATATTTATAAGCTTTATAAAACTGAAGTACATTTAACTTAAGAAAAATGCTTGAAATCCTCTTTCCCTTTTGTTTCTATTTCAGCATCAATCTATGATGTTCAAGTACATAATAGTCTACGTGTGTGTGTGTGTGTGTGAGTGAGTAATATCAAACCATTGACTTTGTTCAAAATTGTGTGTGAAAAAGGTATAATTCTTCTTAAATGGACCCCAGCCATGGGCTAAATATTAGGTATTGTATCTGAAATAATCACTGTTATTCTAATGCAATAGTCTCTTGCCAAAAGAAAACTGTACAATCCAAAATATTTTGGCTGTAGAAATGTTGATAAACCATAAAAGAAACAAATGAATCGATCAATGCTTTTTTCTATTTGACAAAAGTAGCAGACAAAAAAGGCAAAAACATTTTGAAAATATTTCTTGTTGCAAAATAAACTTAAGCAAAGTATTAAGAAATCAGGAAATCTCGTTTGAAATAACAAAGATAACAATTCTGATCTGTTACACAATATCAGTCCTCCTATGTAGCAGTGAATTAGCGACAATATCTTTACAGATGAAAAAGTGACTTGAGGCAACAGAAATGCGGTTCTACAGAAGGATGCTGAGAATACCTTGGAGTGAACGTATGAGCAATAAGTTTTAGAAAAAATAGAAACAAAATGGACACTTATAACCAGGAAGATATAGTTGAAACTTCTAGGAAAGAGGGCTTAGAATATTTGACACTCACAGGATATATTGAAGGCAAGAGGGACAGAGGAAAGCAGTGAGTAATCTGTCAGTGGTTGGCAGAACAGGGATTAGAAGAGATAGTGAAAAGGACAAAGTTTAATAAAAAGCTAGAGAGGACAGCAAATTGTGGAGAGCCATGATCCCCCATGTCCTGAAGGGACATGGCACACATTTTATTAGAATGAAAATGAAATTTTTATTTTTATTTTTAAATTTTTTAGTGATATTACAAAAGTGGGAAAGAAGTTGGAGTGGGATGAAAAAACACAGTAACTTTTCATTTTGTCACTCAGATTCCATCTTTTCCTTTCCACTCTATCTATCTTCTTCTCTTTTATTTCATAGAATCAGATAACGTCTATGACACGTTTCTTTTGTCAATCAAAGAATATATTTTTTCTTTTATTCAGTTGAGTTGCTTAGAGGGTATTAGGTACATAGACCCTAGCAGAATAATAATTTTAAGGGAATAATCCCAAAAGTTCAAAATTCATTTGTTTCAGATAGAAATGTTGTTGTTTTGTAGGCACAGAATTTGAAGGTGCTATTATTGCTCTTTTCCACTTATTGGCAACCCGGAATGACAAAGTCAGGGCTTTGCGTGAAGCTTTCTACCGACAAAACTTACCAAACTTGACCAACTTGATGGCCACTGTTTTTGTGTTTGCTATTGTCATTTACTTCCAGGTAAGTCTATAAATTTTTCCTTTAAAATGATTGACGCAACAATTTTTCCCAAATTCGAATACCCCCCCACTCTCACATTTGTAACTTCTTAAAATGTATTCTAATTTGTGATACATTGTGAATGTAACAGTAAAGATGAGGACAACAGTCGGGACAAGGTAAATAGTTACAAATATTTACATCAGATGCTTAGCAGGGAATGTCTAAAAGGTTAGATTTTGTTTAAATCTTGATTGGCCAGCTATAACCATTTTGTGAGACCTTGATGTGCCATGAAGCTACATAGATGATTGGCAAAATGGCTGAAGTTGGTAACATAAAATTTTTTTCTCCATTTTTATTTATTTTACATATTGGCTTCTTTGCACATTTTACAACTTGGACCATATTGATAAAGTGTGCAGATCCATTGAATTTTACTGAAATTTTTCTTTAAAAAAACCTAAAAACTTTCTGTATTATAAAGGGAAGTGCTATATTTTGCCAATATGGAAACAGAACTTAGTGTTTCCTTGTATTTTAATCTTTTTTTTTTTTTTTTTTTTTTTCCTCCTCAGGGGATTCCGTGTAGACCTGCCAATCAAATCTGCCCGTTACAGAGGACAATACAGCTCTTACCCTATCAAATTATTCTACACTTCCAACATCCCCATCATCCTTCAAAGTGCACTGGTATCCAATTTATACTTCATTTCTCAGGTGAGTAAACTTTTTTTTTTATAATCTATTCTATGTGATAATTTTTATTTTATATTTTTTATTTGTACTTTTATTTTTTATTGATATTTTTTAAACTTTTTTTTTATTTGAAAATATTTAGTTAATTTCTCCCTTATTCATTCTGAATTTGTTTTGCTTCGAATGTGGAAAGTCAAATATTTGAGCCAAATTGATTTACTTTCCTCTTTACTACCGCGAAGAGATTCAGGTTAGTCCATTGGTTACTCGGTAGCTACCAACTTTTTAACCCTTAAGCGAATCCCTTGTCCCTGACCTTTTTATCCGCTGCTTTGTAATGTCTTTAGCCACCACACCCCCTCCTTTTTTAATATGCTGCTACAAAAAGATGGTAAAATAAATGGTTTGCAAATTACATTTATTTTAAGTGATTTTAGCATTTACTGAAATTTTTGTCTGGCTTATTAATCTTTTAATGTTCAGCTTTGTAAGTTGAAGATATTTAAGTTCGGCTTTTATGGATTTGGTTAAGTTTTTTTTTTTTTTTTTTTTTTTGTGCAAAATATTGTTGATGCTCTGATCTTGTGGAGATCAATATACCAAAAAGAAAAAAAATGTCCTGTACTTGTTCCAGATGTCCCCGTTTTCTATTTTAGTTTCTTGAGACTAAATGCAGTGGGCATGAAATGTGAAAAAAAAAGTGTTCAATTTGTTTACTCATTATTTAAAAACATAATACATAAGGTTTTTTTTTTGTTTTTATACCTGCCCCTTATCAACTAACTAACATTGTTGAAGTGACTGCATTGTGCTATATAGATGTCAGCTAGTTAGAATTTATTTTTTTTATACTGCACTTTATGGTTTTGTCTTTTTCCTTTTCCAGATGTTGGCCAATAAATTCCATGGAAATATCTTTGTAAATCTTTTGGGAGTTTGGACCGTGAGTATTTTCACATTATTCTGCTTTTTAGAGATAAAACTCAAGGATTGTTGAAGTTTGACTAATCAAAAGCATTTGATAGGGGGATGCAAACTTTTTCTGTCATAATGTTGGCTTTCATTGTTCGGTTTGGTTCATATTGAAACTAATATGAACCAAACTATATCCAGCCAACATTGACAGAAGCGGTTTGCATCTCCTAATCAAATGCTTTTGATTAGTAAAACTTCAATTTCTTGTGTGGAAAGTCTGTTAATAATTACAAAGGATTCTAGACGTCCATTGGATTTGCAGCCACTGTCTTTTCTTGCTGGAATCCTCATATTTACATGCCTAGCAGATAGGCCAGTGGTGGGACTGACTATAAAGTGGAGAACTATTTGGTCGATGTCTCATTAAATAATCACTCCAACGAAGCTGATGTCTAAAAAGTCATGAAAAAAAATTCCTTTATAAGATTCTGGCTTTAAAATCCATTTCTTCAAAATCTTCATCAATAATCATTTTTTATATTTCTTTTGTTTTGTCTGCCTTAAAATATTTAGGTTTTGCTTGATTAGGAATTAATCTGATGCACACTCCCTAATGATTTTTTTTTTTTTTTTCCCCTTCAGAGTGAAGGTGGTGGACCAGCCCGATCTTATCCCACTGGTGGTTTGTGCTACTACCTTTCACCCCCAGACACACTGACACATGTTGTAGAAGATCCAATCCATGCTATGGTCTACATCTTCTTTATGTTGGGTTCTTGTGCTTTTTTCTCAAAAACTTGGATTGAAGTATCAGGATCCAGTGCCAAAGATGTAAGTTTTTTTTTTGTTTTTTTTTTCCTTGGTTTTTAATTTTATCTAAACACAAATCTTGGTAAACATTTCATGAGATGCTTTAAAAAAAAAAAAAATTTTAAAACCAAAATAGTTCCTAAATTTTTTGTTTATATTAATGAATCTGTAATCTGTTATTGAAAGTAAATGTATTTTAAATTATAAAGATAAAATTAACATAAATTGTGCATAATTTAGTTAATCTTAAGTTTTAATCTTGCTAATTTGGAAAGCTTATGACCAAATTGCTGCTACACAAGTAGATTTTTCCAACCCATTGAAGTTTGCTTTTAAAAAAGGTGAGAAATAATGCATATACTGTATTGTTTCCAATACTACTCAGGTTTATTAATTTCTTTATAACAAAGTGTTTGTCCTGTAGCGCAAGGAGATTGTATTGGTACAAAAATAGACCTGATTCCTATAAAACTATACGTAAAAATGAAAAAAAGGGGATCATTTATTTATCTTAACTTTTATTGTAAATACAATTCCAAATTGTATTTGTTTCTATATACAATCTAAATTAATATCTAGTGGCTGACATCTGGGTTCTTGCATGTATGTATGCAATCTCACACCTTTTCTAAGTTAATGTCATATTTGTTTTACTTTCACTTGTCTATTGAAGGGCATATTTAGTGATTAAAGGAGAAAAAGAATGAGTAATCTCTGTACCTGCATTGTCACATCAATCACCATCAGTAAACTGAAGTAGGCCCAAACAATAATGGTACATTGAAACTATTAGGAAGAGTGAATCTCTAATTAGTGAGGTTCAACTTATATTTGGTTTATTCTCATTACTACAATATAAAATATTTTTTTTCCTCTTCATTAAAAATTTAGAAAATATCAGGTGGGGTAAAAATCTCTGCTGATGATGTAAATAAACATTAAAATGACCACCATAACACAAAATAGGTAATCAAAATTTGATTACCTATTTTGTGTTATTTCTATTTATAGGTTATTGTCTATTTATGTTTTTGAAAAATTACTTTCAGGTTGCCAAACAATTGAAAGAGCAACAAATGGTGATGAGGGGACACAGAGAGAAATCTATGATTCATGAATTGAACCGTTACATCCCAACTGCTGCTGCCTTTGGAGGTTTGTGTATAGGAGCCTTGTCCGTTTTGGCTGACTTCTTAGGTAAGTACAATTTACTGTCAGCGCCACCTACTTCTACTTTCTTTTGAAATGGCTTTTTTTTTTTTTTTTTTTTTTTTTTAAATTATGTCTTGTCTAATGCTTGGGGTGGTAAATCATTAGTGGATTAGGATCTTTTTCAAAGTAAAACAAAAGGCTTGTTTGTAAAAATTAATTCTACCCTTAGAAAAAATTGTCAATCTTCTAAATAAGTATTGGGGGGGGGTGCTTTCCAGTAGTCTTGTAAAGATTTTGAATTGACAAAATCTCTGGAACTTGTCTTTGCATATTCCCAACAAAATCTAATTCACCAAATTTTTTGTTGTAACAGCAATGAATAAAGCTGCAAATATTTTTCTCAGTTTTTTTGTAATTGTGTTAAACATTACAGTTGCTGTGAGAGAATGAAGGAATTTTAATTTTTGCCATTTCAATTGTGAGTCATTTGAACTCTTTCTTTTTCATGGATTTAAATAATTTAAATTTGTTTTTTCAGGTGCCATTGGCAGTGGAACGGGTATCCTGCTGGCTGTAACCATCATCTACCAATATTTTGAGATTTTTGTAAAAGAACAGAGTGAAATGGGTGGCATGAGCACTCTTCTATTCTAGATGCAAATTACCAACATGTGTGAAAGTGAATGAATGAGTGAGTGATGGAATGAGTGAAGGAACAACAGTGAAAAAATAAAACCAAAAAGCTTAAGTGGAAAAAAAAAAAAAATAACTTTAAAATTTTTTTATTTTACCTCCTCCTTATAATTCCAGTTTATTCTACTGTGCACAACATACTTTCTCTAGGAGGGGGTTTATTTTGCTCTGTCCCCACTCAGTCAATCTGGTGGTGAAAGATTTCAGAGGGATCAGTATATCCCTCCTGACTGCCTAAATGTGGCTATCAGATGGGTCACATAATTGCTCTTTATTCCGCACACATATATGTGTGTGTGTACATGTGCGTGTGTTACAGTCTCTTGAGGTGGCTTCACAAGGCTCATTCTTCCATCTGTTCGACAATAAGTAAAAAAAAATAAATAAATAAAACTGTCTGCACACACAACTTTTTTTCTCTCTCATCTCAAAAACGGCTATCACTATTACAAAACTTTGTTTTTTTTTTTTTTTTGTTTTTTTTTTAATATTGAAACTAGGGGAGCTAGTCTAAAAGATGAAAAACAGTTTTTCTCCATTAATATGACCCCCCCCTTCCCCCAAAAAGAGTCATCAGCACTACCAAACTGGTTTTGCTAGAAAAACAAAAAACAAATCCCATCTTGAAGCATTCTATCTCTGACTATGTCAGAGTTTGTAATAAGTAATTAAAAGATAAAAAAAAACAATTTTTTTCCTAATTTACTTAAAAATAAAAAAAAAAAATGTCTTAAAAATGAAAAACAAATAAAATAAAACAAAAAAACTTAAATACCACACTTTGATAACAAAGTTATTTCTTTGTTTTTATTTTGTTGCAAATGTCCTATATTTTTATTATTAGTTACTTTTATTATTAGTTTACCCAAACTATAAAAAATGATGGCATATCTTGTTAAATATTGTTTTATATTTCAGTTTCCCCCCAACCTTCATCCCCCCCATTAGCCATTGATATTCAGAGAACTTAAAGCAATTACTTGGTTATTTATTTTAGTGCATTTTGCTTCAAACAAATTAACTATAAATCAGTTATCATCACCCACTACCAGATGGGTCGATTTTCACTGCCCACCTGTATAGTAAATATTCAAATGCATACAGCAATGGGCAAATTATATTTTGCCAGGCACTTTACCTGCCTTGACAAAAAAAGAAGAAAAAATTTTTATATTAAATAAAAAAAAAATTATTCTGCATTAACTTCATTTTACTACTGAATATATTCTTAGGCTTCCTTTATCTGATTTTATCTCTGGAAAAAATATTTTGTCTGAAGAACTATTTGATTGTTAGTGATCTTTCTATAAATATCATCTAGAAATGTGACCCAGTTATTCTCATTTAGCTTCCATTTTTTTAAATACAGGTTCTTTGCATATCTTTTGAATATTTTTATAGCTATCTGTCACTCATATTGCCTAAAATAAGTAGCCAAGTAATTGTTATAAGTAACTCAGTTTATTGAAATAAGTGTTGCATTGATAATACAAGGGGATAGCAAAAAAAAAAAAAGTTGAAAATTTCGAGCCTTGAAATGTACATGCAATTCCATATAAATGACTTATGTTTTTAACATTATTACCTAACCACACTGGTTTCATGCCCTACCAATGTTTGAGAAACGTAACAAATGATATTAAAGAAAAATTTAGAAATTCAAATAAGACAATTGAATTACACATTAAGTTGTAAATATGTGAATCTTTTATTTTCAGGTTTTGTTTGGGCGATGGGTTGTTTTTTAAAAAAAATAAAATAAATCCTTTCAATTTGGTTCTCACAAGCCTCCTGTTACCTCCGATGCCCACAATTTAAAGGTACGATCATATGATGATGATGCCAAGTACTTCAAGTCAGGTGAAATGTCCAGGCCCATAATTTTCCCTTCATGTCCTGCTAATGTTTTCATTGGAGACCAAGTAGGGTGGGTCCAGATCTGGCAAAGGAGAAATGTAAAAGAAGCATTAAGACCAATCTTTAATTTCACATTAAAAAAAAAAAAAAAAAAACACACCTTTTCCTAAGTACTACATGAAATTTTCTGAGAATACTTTCAGCAAATGACATTCACCTTGTTTACTTTTAGTAGTTTTCTAAGCTTAACAATCAACCTCTTTGCAGAATCATTAGTTTTTATCAACTTTTTTTTTTTTTAAATTCCATAAGTAGTTGATGATTCTGGAAAGAGGATGACAATTAAGCTTAGAATGCTAGTAGAAACACACAGGGTGGGAGTCATCTGCTGAAGGCATTGCAGTTTTTTTTTTTGTTTTTTTTTTTTTCTTGTCACATATTCAGTTTCTATCAGCATTAGTGAAATGAAATTTATTTAGCAACATAAGTGGAAGATAAGACAGCACTAAGGAAGGTCAAAGAACATTGTGTGCAATATCTACATGTTGGGGAGACCAGCCTTAAATATGGTGTAAATATTAAAATGTCATTAATACAGATCTCATAAAAATAGAAGTATTAATTTCCTGATTAAAAATGCATAACAGAAAAAAAAATTGTGAAACAGCCCTACAAGAGATACTTCACCAGCTAGTTTATTTGAGTGACGTCTACTGATAAAGTCTTTGCAGTTAATTGATAAAGGTTATGTCCTTCCCAAAGATAAAGGATGAAAGTTTATGCCTGACTGAAAGTTTGTTTTTGTAGCTTCATCCAAAATTACTAGCAACAGAAATAGGAGCTCAAAAAAAAAAAAAAAAATCCTGTGAAAGGTTGGATTGAGAGAACATTATGTTGCACCACTGTTTCAAGTGGAGAAGTACCTTGAAAATCAGCATCTGTAATCCTGATTATCAACAACATGCTGATATAGATGTTGCTTTAAGAATGTTCAAAATGAAACTAACTCACCTTTGCTGTGTTGTCGTAGGAAGAGGTCACAAGGTAATTCCCATGGTTGGCTGAAAAATTTAGTTTCAGTATCAGTTTTAATACATTTGTATAGTTAAAAAAAAATCCCAAGATGAGATATAATGCTACACAAGTAACCAGACCTCCCGTTTGACAATCCTTACAGACATTGTGCATCTGTATATTGTTAAAACTTAGAGGGGGGGGGGCAGCATATATTAATCGAACCAATCATTTTGCCAAGCCTCTTAGCAATATGTCTAACACAAGTAATTAGATATTTTATACACAAGGTGGTTCTTCTGGTGTTGTGATGTACCACTTTTGATATGTTACGATAACAAATAGAATTGTTTTGATATAGATTGTATAACTTTTTTTTTTTTTTAATGTCATGTTCCTTTAGATGTGGAGATGAATTTGCATTAAAAGTTATGTCACTGTAATGTCTATTTCAGCATTGCAAGAAACTTGGGGTATTCTTCAGTCTGCTTCTCCCACTTAGAAGAAAAAATAATTCTCAGGGCATTGAGTTCATCATCCACTGAACAGAACATTAAATTTTATTAACCAACTGGGTAAGGGTCACTGGCATGGAAAGCACTAATACATAAAATAAGAACAGAGATCCACTTAAAAAAAAGATTTTATGCTTATTAACTTCCATAATGCTGTTATAATAATGGCTTAAAGAAAAGAAAAATTTTGAAAAGACAATGCAAGTTTGCAAAAATTGAAGAACTATAAAATGTATCCTTTTTGTTTTTAAGAAAATGTAATAATTTCATTTTAAAATCTGAAATAGGACCTAATCCCTAGAATGATTAAAATAATCATTGAAAAAAATGATTACATTGTGAAAATTATCTACTAATTACATATCAATTTTTTTATGGACCCATGTACTGAAATTAAGCGGATTTCATTTCATTTATTATAAAACATCTAGTCTAACTTTTTGTATAGAAAGTGTCAATGAATTTTCAATTTAATCCCAAGAATTAGAGAAAATATTGCCAGTCACAAATGTAAAGGAAATGAATGACTATTAAGAGGAGAACTCCAATATTTTTTTTTTTTTTTTTTTACAAATGTGAGTGTGAAATTGAAAACTAAAATACATTCAGTTTATATATTTATTTTTCTATCTTATAATATGAATTCTGTTTAATGTTTTTTTTTTTTAAAAAGAAAACATGAAAATAACATAAAAACAACAACTAAGGTGAAAGTGATTCAAGCGTGGCAGTTTGGATAAGATACAATGAATAAGTACTTTAATAATGCATTTTAAAAGTGTATAAAGAAAATATAAAAAGATTTGAACTGTGAATCAATGGAGCATGTTTAAACATCAACCAAATGAACTCAATTTTAAATCATTCACTCAATCACTAATACAAATTTTACTGCTTCAGACACAACTAACGACCAAATTGCAAAGTCCCCTCTTTAAAAACAACTATAAAATTGTCAACTGTCATTGAAATAGCAACATAATTTAAAGAGACATAAAATAAAAACTGACCATAGAGAAAGATTCCTATCTTAAGAAAGAAAAGATTAAATTTTGTCTAAATACTAATTTTTTTCAAAATAGCCTCGGAAATAAATGAGATATCTGCCGTTGAAATGGAAGGAAATTTCACTATTTTGACACCTATGTTTTCGTACTGTAAACCAGGACAGTTTGGGATACATACTCTGATAAATAGCAGACCATTTTGATTACAAGGAAAGATAGAAGAAAAAGATATATTGGAGATGCTGTTTGATTGTTGAGAGAAAAAGAAAGCATACATAGAAAGGCATAATACTCTCATGTGGTTAACGCCTGCTTCAGTGAAATGGGAAACCTGGTCAATTTAGAATCTTTCCATTTGTACCTTCTTTGACTTATCCTGCAGGTCATTATTTAATGTGAACAAATAATAGTGCAGAATTTTTGCAGGTTCCTGCTAGAGGGATCAATCTTCCAAATGACCTTGAATGGTAAGGATTCATCTGGAAACTGCAAGAAATAACCTGATTTTTATCATTTCTCAACTAATATTCTGACTGATAGCTTTCATCCTTTCTGAGAAGTATCCTCATTATATCAGGTGAATGTTGTCTCTGGATGAAAGAAGAAAGTTGTGCTAGTTAAAATATGGTGTTGTTTAATACTGTTTAGAGCAGAAAAAGAAGAAAATGTTACACTGAAATCCAAAGATGCATTGGAATAGTGAAAGTGGTTTCTAAAACCTAAGCAAAGTATTAAGAAACAGGAAAAATTTGCTGGAGACAAAAGATTGCTGAACTGCTATGTAACAGCAATGAATGCTGGAGAATCTCAGATGAAGTAGAGACTTGAGACAATAGAAATGTGGTTCTACAGAAGGATGCTGAGAATACCATGGATTGAAGATATGAAGAAGTAAGAAAAATGGAAGCAAAAAGAACATTTATACTTTTTTTTTTTTTTTTTTAAGCGTTTCACCCCAAGCAAGGCGGAAAGCCACTAGGACGCAAGGGGTTACAGAAAATTTGGAGCAAGATCAGATAGGAGTGATAGGGTAGTGGATAGATCAAAGCAACTGGAGATACAGAGGCCAGTGAGTGAGAGAGAGAGTACTGGGAACCCCTTCCTAAACAAGAAACAAGGTGTAAGCCTCTACTCATGTCCAAGAGAGAATCCGAAAGAGAAGTAAAATTTCTAGAGCACATAATGATAAGAGGGCTTGGAGAATTTGACACTCATGGGGCATGCAAGAGAGAAAAGCAGCAAATAGCCTACCTCATGAGTTTGCATAAATGGTTGGCAGAACAGGGATTAGGAGAGATAGCAAAATGTTCAAAACTCAAAAGAACTATAAAGGATAAAATTATAGAGAGCCATGATTGAACATGTCCTGAAGGAACATGGTATAAAGAAGAAGAATACAAAGAAAATAACAAGCTACAGAATCCCAATAAAATGTCTCAAAACTTGTGTTATTCAAATTTAAAAGAAAAATATTATGGTAATCAATGGTTGATCATTTACTTACGTTGAAATCTGACGTGAGACACAAGGTTTGTATGCGCTGGGATTGTGTAGACACATCTGCGTTGACGAATGTCCCATATTCTGGCTGTGTTGTCCTCGCTTCCTGTAGCAATATGATAGCTGAAAAAGCAAAGCACAAAAAAATGCACTCAATTAAGTGACAACTGCTGTAGAGTGATTCTTGGCAAGGTTAGCCTAGCGAAGTAAGTTCAATTATCACTATAAAAAAAAAATGACCTTTTTTTACACACTAATCCAGTATTTCTCAACCCCACCTTTTTTACTCCAGGGTGCACTTGTAGAATATCAATCTATCTATCTATCTCAGTGTTTCTCAACTATTTTTTTTTTTTTTTTTAACTTCAGGACACACTTGTAGAATATCTATCCATTTACCTACCTACCTATCTATTTATCTCGGTATTTTTCAACATTATTTTTTACTTCAAGGCGCACTTGCAAAATAACTAAATCTCTGGGGAAACACTTTAAATTTTAATAAGGAAAAATTAGTTGTGAAATTTGAAAATCTAAAATTTTGGTTTAGTAGTATTCCCAAAGAGGATTAATTGTAGAGTTTTCATTTAAAGGGATTTATGAAGAACTTGCTAATTTTCTTTTTAGAAAGGTTGATAATGACTGATATAAATCCCTTGAGGAAGGCAAAAGGGAAAGGATTAAACACTCCTTAAAGATTAAAGAATTTAGCACTTATCCAGTTTAGAATGTCAGATCACAAATATTTGACTTAGCTAGATGACCAAGCACATGGCTTTTTCAAAATAAAGATTTTTTTTTAAATATAAAAATAATTAATAAATTACTCTTCTGTTAAATTGGAGTGCACCTGGATACCTCTCAGGCTGCCTTAATGTGCCCAAATGCACTGGTTGAGAAACCCACTCCTCTAATTGAAGACGACAGGTGGTGAAATGCTATCTTCCAATCTAATTTTCTGTTGTGCTTTAGCAGGTGTAAGTGAATATAACAACCCCAACTGGAATTAGAACTCAGCTCTCCAATTTCCAACTCTAAGCCATTATTCATTACACCACCTGCACATCCAGGTGTATTGCTCTTGGTATTCCTAGATGGTCATCCATCTACGTATTGACCAACAGTTTTTTGATTGATTTACTTTTTTACGGCTTGTCAACCTTTTACAGATTATTTAAAGTCCGAAAATAGTTTTTAGATTGTAACAATTTTTTTGGAGATAATACTGACATTTTCAAATTCTACCCATAGCTGGGGGGGGAGAAGAGGTGGATTCATAACCTTCCCCAAGGATATTTGCGTGTAAGTGAATATAACAAACCCAACTGGAATTGGAACTCAGCTAATTTCCAACTTCAAGCCCTTATTCATTAGAGCACCTGCACATCCAGGCTTATTGCCCCTGGTATTCCCAAAGCAGTCACCCATCTAGCTACTGACCAGGCTCAACATTGCTTAACTTTGGTGATCATACAAGAATTGTTTCAATGTGATATGGCCATAAATCATAAAAATAGGGGGAAAATGTTCGGGGGGAGTCAATTTTTAGATTAGCATTTATTCCTTTTGTCAGAAATCAATAATATTGATTTTTTTTCATCATTTGAGAAGTAGGTTGTTTGGTTTTTGTTTCGCTTTACAGAATATCAACCTCAGTGAGTTATTTAATGCCGACAAGATTTTTATTGCTGGTAACTTTTTTTTCCCCAAAATGTATTGCTTGTAATAATTTTTTTACAAAGTATTTCTGGTATTAAAACCTATTTTTACACTTTCATAGTGTTTTGACCCCAGTTTGGGGGTTAACTATTTACCCATAGCTGGGACTAACAGATGCTACCAGCCTGGGTCAGGGTGGACCTGGGAACACATACAATTAAGAGGTGGTTCTACGCTCCTCAAAACCTCCTGATCAGAGGCCTTGCTGTTGGACGCAGTTTATTGTCTTACACAGGATGTGGGTGTAGTTTATCATCATATCCAGGACAGTTAGAAGTAGGGTCCGGTTCATAATATAAGTACTTTTTACAGTGTTATCTGGACTTAGTTATTTTGCATACAAAGGCATACATTTTATTCTTTTTTTATTTATTTATAAAAAGATTTCTTTTAAATAAAGAACAAACATATACATTTTTAATTAAAGAACAAAAGTTTATCTAAATTAATAAAAGTATATATCCATTTATTCTTCATTTAAGATAAATAATTATTATCTCCCATAGTTTGTGCTTCTGACCCCCACCAAAAAAAAAAAACGTTTTAAAAAATTAAAACAAAAATGCAGGAAGTCAATGAAGTAAGCAAAGTTTGAATCTCGAAATTTGTAAATAACAGCAAAGTTCAATAATATTAGCAATTACATATTGGAGACATTAAACAAAGCAGGCAGAGAAATTTAAATATATGAGTAAAAGGCAATAAAATGTGACATAAAAATCAAAGGCATATAGGAATAGGAAAGAAGCCTTTCAGAAATTAAGTAAAGCATTAATAATAGTTTAAACTAATTGCTTTCTGTCTGAATTTTTGGGATGAGGAGTTATCATTATATACCAAAATAGACATTACAGTGATATAACTTTTAATGCAACTTCATCTCTACATCTAAAGGAAGGCACTCCGCCCTTCAAACTATTGTCCTCATCTTTGTTATTATCATAATGTTTTGGCCATTGTTCCTTAGGTGTATATGGATCTGTGTAACCTGCAGATTCTGAACTGAATCCTTTATTTAATCTACAAGAGTTGACAGTTCTCATTCCACTGTTCATGTCTAGGGATGTCGTCTAATTCTCATTTTTTATTTAACACTATTCGGTTATTGATCGCCTGTTTCCCCTGAGTGCAAGTATACACTTCTCAACCCAGGAATTGAACTCACAATCACTATACTAACAAATTTGGTCTACTAGATTCAAGTGTTGGTTTGTGAATTAACTTGGGTATATTTGGCCTCAAATGGGCATGTGGCATAGTGGTTAGAACATTCGCTTTCCGACCACAAGACCCATGGTCAATTTATCAGGAAAGTGACTTCTTGATATTATCAACCTGGGAAGGCAATCCCAATGTGCAGCACCTTTGGAAAGCACTCGAAAACTATACTATGTTTTGACCCAAGCCCTGCGAGTGAAATTGGGTAGATGGAGCTATTTGGGAGTTGTTGATAGTTGTGTTAGCACAAAGTTGCACGTCATTGTGACTGAGTTTTTCAGTGTACTGGCATTGTTCAACAGTTGAGGCTGTAATTGGGGTAAATTTGCTTTTTAATGCCTGCGCGCTAAATATCTCTTAAAATTTTCCCAAATCGTCATAATTCTATGTAAATGTGCATGCTGAACTAGAAGTAACAATTAAATTATGAAAGGACCTACCATTTTGGAGTTATTGACAAGAAAAAAAAAAAAAAATCGGACTTCTTGTTGGTCATTCGTCTGCCATTACTGCCATAATGTTCAGTAATTCAGTGCAGGGTACATCCAGTGGTGTAAGCATAAAGTCTGATTTTTTTCTTGTCGATAACTCCAAAACGGTAGGTTTCTTCATAACTTAATTGTTAATTCAAGTTCAGCATGTACATTTACACGGAATTATGATGATTTGGGAAAATGCTAAATATGCATGCGGGTGTTAAAAAGCAAATTTACCGGAATTGGAACTTGGCTCATCAACACCAATTAAACAACCTGTGCAATCATTGGCCTTCTTAATTGCAAAACTGAATATCAAGTAATTTGGTTATTTATAAATTATATTATGTCTCTTACAACTTGTCCATTAAAACAAGCAGCAGGCAAAACTGAGATCGATTGATTTGTTTTTATGGCTTATCAATTGAGGAGCATTATCATAATCAGAGGAATGACAGTGTTATTATGGTATACAGTATTATTAACAATAGGAATCAGCAAAATTGAAGAGCATTATAAAAGTATATACCATACATAAATTATACACAAAGTATTATGGTACATGCTCAGAAGCTGGGGTTGCATTATGCACAAGCTATATAAAAAAATTAAAAAAAAAAAAAAACAAAGTTTTCACAACGAAATTCTGACATCGCACTATACATGAAGTCAGCTTATACACAAGCATAATTGATTATTCTTTTTTTTTTTTTTTTTTTTTAAGTACATTAACAATTTTTTTTTAGAGTAACAATGATTTTTCCAGATACAAGTGCCACTATTCAGTGGGTAGATTGCTTCTTACCTTTCCCAAGGGTATTTGCACATAAGTGAATGTAATGACCCCAACTGAAATTTGAACACGGCTTTTCAGTTTCTGATTCTGAGCCACTATCCATTACACCAACTGCACATCCGAACAGAAAAATTGCTTAAAAAAACAAACAAACAAAAATAAAGAAACCCTGAGACTCACCCATCAACATTAAAGTCAATATCTAAGACAGATTTCAAATGTCCTTCCAAAAACATTATACACCTTCCTGTCCTTAAGTCCCACACTCGTCCAAATGCATCCAGTCCTCTACAAGAAAAAGAAAAAGTGAACAAATAAATAAAATCAATACCAAATCAACATAAGGTTAATGTAAAAAAGAAAAAAATATATATAATATTATTACATAATGTCTGTCCACTAGGGTAGTTAGCCAATCCCTGTTGCAGATGCCTACTCTGACTACTTAGCCACCTGCCCAATATTGTCACATATATACATACACACATACATATACAACACACACACACAATACTTAAGTTTTACTGTACTCACAACTTGCAATTTCATATGTTCTCACAATTTTTGGACAGTCACTCATGTAGTAGAAAAGGATAGAAAAGTTTCCTGACCTCTGCAACTGTAAGCATGTGAAACTTGTTGGTAAATTTGGAAGCTTCTAACGCTTATCACTTACTCCTTTAAACATAATGAGGAGATACAGCCTGGTAGAGTGGATCTACTGGATCTTATAGTTCTTAATGATTTTATTTGGTAACAAAAGTGTCTTGGAAGTAATATTTTTTTTAAATCATTTCACCCCAAGCAAGGCAAAAGAGTCACTAACAAACAGGTTTCTAAGTTTTTACATTATTAAGGAGCGAGAATAATAAAAGAACAGAATTTAAGATGACAGAAGATAACGATAGACATTGCATTTAAATTTTTGAAGATCAAACTTATCTGGAAAGTAAGAAGCAGGAAGAGAGTTCCACAAGTGAGAGGTGCAAGAAAAGAAACTGTTAGCATAGAACTTATGGTTACATCTAGCCAGCTCAACTGTAAAATGATTATCTTGCCACCAATCTAGTACTGCGCTTAAATTTGCATAGTCTAGGTAGCAGAGTTCATTAGAACATTCACCATGAAAGTATTTATAGAAAAGGCATGGGGTGGTGCGAAAGTGACTGAAGTCAAGATACCAGGTCAGGACATTGCAGATCCTTCTTTGGATTTTATTAAAAATCTCTAAATATATAGCAGGAGCACCAGACTATATGTGGTAGCAATATTATAAGCATGGGTGAATGGTAGACATGTAGATTTATAAGATAGAGTCTGGCAAGAAAAACTGTCTAGCATGACACAGTGAACCAAACTTCTTAGTAGCAGACTTAGCAATCGATTTGATATAACCTTTCCACTTCATGCCAGTGGAAAATGTTAATCCGGGAAAGTGCAACGAGTCACTCTCTTGAGACTTGCACTGGCCATGCTGATGGAAGATAGAAAGGGCTTTTCCAGACAATTAATAGAGAGCAGTTTCGTTTTTGGAGGCATTAAAATTAGCAAGCCATTCTTTACCCCAGTTAACAGCAAAGTGTAGGTCATTTTTGACATCAGCTGCCAATATGACCTTATCGAAACAATCCAAGAAATTTCCATCTTAAAAAGATTTAGAACTCAATTCTCTACAATTTGTTGACAGGTTTTTATATTTGCTATTTTCAGCTGGAAGGCATGAACTTTTTCATTTTATTATGGATTTAGCTATTTTTCCACATCAAATGACTGACATTTCCTCCATATTCGAAATACAAGTAGAAAGTTCCACTCAGACAGCTTCTACCCCCCCCCACTCTTAGTGGAACCCACTCCCACACGGATGCTTCCCTGAACACTACAATGTTAACCTCTTCAATTTAAGGGTCAGTCATTATATATCCTCCTTATCCTCATAATCTTCACTTCCTGCTACCTTATCTTTCATTCATATCAACACACCTCATTCATCATAGCCATTTTAACAGTAACCCTTTCAGTCACTTTCCCACCCACCATAAGGTTGTCTCTCTGTGTCTTTTCTATAAATACCTTCATGGTAATTATTCAGGCTAACTCTTTGCTATGGTACCTAGACTTTATAAATTTAAACACAGTACTTGATGGATGACAAGGTCTCATCAATTTATACTTAAATTGATTAGATGTAACCGTAAATTCTATGCTAACAGTTTCTTATCTCTCACTTCTTGCTTGTGGAACTCCCTTCCGGCCCCATGTTTTCCAGACAACTTTAATATTCAAAAATTTAAATACAATGTCAATCACTATCTAATGTTCTCCTGATTACTCTTTCCACACATTATTAATGTTTCTGTTCCTAATTCTTCCACACCCTGTAAACCCTTGTGCCTTAGTGGCTTTACTACCTTGCATGAGCTTATACCGATACCACCCCTACTTTAAGTGGCTTTAGTGGATGAACTTTAGTGAAGAAAAATATAAACAAAGTAAAACCAATTGTGCCGCCTCTGGAGTGGAAGTGACAAATATTTTATTCAGTTTTATTGATAGGTAATTAGAAAAGGCAGAGAAATCTTTGCTTAATAGATTGAATAAGATGAAAATGTTTTTGAGAATAACTTACCCAGTTGAAGCCAATGCACCATCATTTTGAAATGATATACAGTAGACAGGTTTACTGTGACCTTCTTGGTGAAGAATTTCCTCCTGGACCTCTAAATCCCACAGACGCCAAGAATTGTCAAAACTGGAAAATGAATATTTATCAATACAGAACATCTTGGAACAAGTCTTTTCAGATAAATCTGAAGAAGGGAACAGTCACACCCTACTCACTTTCCCAGCTTCATAGCCTAATGGATATAAAAAGGAGTGTAACTAATTTTGTAGAGGATAAAAAACAGTTTGTAAATGGCACCAAATTGAAATATACAATATTAACTGTGAGTTTAGGTGCTATTTATTTTGAAGAATATAAATTTATTTAATTTTAAGGAAGAAGAATGTGAATTTAAAGTGAATGCTGGAGAATCTCCACACGGATGAGTAAAAAACTGGAAGCAACAGAAATGTGATTCTACTGAGGATGCTGAGAATTCCATGGACAGAATGAGTAAGCAATAAGGAAGTCTTAAAGAAAATGGTAACAAAAAGGACACTCGAACTCAGAATCAGAAAGAGACACCTAATATTTATTGGACACATAATGAATGTTTCAATTTTTACAGCTTAACAACCCTTTGTAGGTTATTTAAAGCCAGAAAATATTTTTAGACTGTAAGAATTTTTTTTTTTTTTTTAGATAATAACAATTTAGTGATACAAGTGTTATTATATAACCCATAGCTGGGGTGAGAAGAGGTGGATTTATACCTTTCCCAAAGTTATTTGAGTGTAAGTGACTATAAGGAACCCAATGGGAATTGGAACTTGGCTTTCTGATAAGCAATTCCAAGCTATCATCCACTACATACATCCAAGCTTACAGCACCTGGTATTCTCAAGAGGTGACAAATAATAAGGAAGGCGAGCTTGGAGAAGGTACATCAAAGGCAATATGTTAAATAATAGTTTAGCAGACTATCATTTTTAGAGGAAGTGTATCTTGGCTCCAACTTCTGGATGTTGATAGCTGGGGTCAGATGTGGACCAAAATAGAGAAGTCGATTTTGATTGGCTGAGGTAGTGTGGGAACGAGACAGGAGAAAGGTTTCAGCAAGTTGTTTCTTGACTGTCAAGCGATGTAGACGTATTCTCTTTCGTGTCTGAAATGGCTCCCCAGTAAGGTGGGGGAAACCCCCACTAGATGGTTAGTACATGTTGACATTAATAAATATAGATAAGTTAAAATACTCTGTGTTGAAGTCTTTCATTGCCAAACCAAAACAATTGGCGATCACAAGCCAAGAGAAAAATCTGAACTGAGAATATTCACTGCTCTCTATATACAACAAACAGAGATAGGGGAAGGCAGCGGGTCACCTATTTGATGAGTTGATGTGAGTGGGTGGCAGAATGGGAGTGGGGGGGTCAGGTGGGCCAAGAAGCTTGGCTAAGGGAGAAACATTGCTAAGGGCCATAAGGGATAAGAAGCTGTACAGAGACATGATTGCCCACCTCCTGAAGGGACACTGAACATAGAAAAAGAAAATATTGAAGAAGGATGTACCTTTAATTCTGTACATTTTGAACAAACACAAATGTGCCTGAGCAGGTGTCTGCAACCTAGATTGACCAGCAGTGTGAGCAGATGGGTGTGCTTGGAAACGATGAGCCAGAAAAGAATGACTACCTATGTTTCACTAGGCATTTAAAATCAACCACATATTGCGATTCCAGGCTTGCAGCTACATCACGTTGAATCACCAGTTCCTGTATGATCATTGAAATTAAGCAACATTGAGCCTGGCCAGTACTTAGATGAGTGATCATTTGGGAATACCAGGTGCTGTAAGCATAGCAAAGTAATGGATAATGGAATTGTTAATCAAAGAGCTGAGTTCCAATTCCATTTGGGGTTGTTATATTCTCTTATGTGCTGTGAAAGGTATGAATCCCCCCAGCTATGGGTTAATTAGTTAGACTTGTATCAATAAACTATTATTATCTAAAAAAAAAAAAAAAAAAAAAACTTTTAAAATCTGAAAATATTTTCTGGCTTTAAATAACCTGCAAATAGCTGATAAGCTGTAGAAAATGAAGAAATCAATCAATTTTGATTCCAGTCCAAAAAGCTGCTTACTCACCAACAAGATCCAAGAAATCTTCCAGATGGGTGGTAGGCCAGTCGGGAAACCCTGTAAGGTGCATGACCCTCAATGTCAGCAACTGGTTCGTCACTGGAAGAAGACAAACATTAATTAAAAAAAAAAAAAAAAAAAAATTTCCATATGAAAAACAGTGAAAGAATGTGTGTGTGTGTGTGTGTGTGTGTGTGTGACATTCTCCTTTACTTAGAAATTGATTTTGGTGATTTTTTTTTTCTCAAAATATCAGCAGGAAAGGAAAAGTGGGATTATATTCACAAAATTAGCATTCAGTGCAACAAAAAACAGAAAGTTGTGGAGAGCCATGGTCGGCTACATCCTGAATGGATTTGGCACATAAAAGAAGCTGGCATATAGTGAATGTGTGTTGGTCACTCCACACTGTATTTGACTTTTAAGTTCTTTCTTTTCATTAGTAGGAGGAATTCTACCAATGATTTTTTGAATTGTAATTGACTGCAGTGGTGAAGATTAAACAAAAAAAAAATGCTTTCTTTTGTTACAAAACAAATCATTGAAACATTTCTAAGTAGTGCATGACTTGCATCCTCAAAATGAATATCTGATATATAAATCAAATTAACAATAGTATATTTAATTAAAAAAATGCTTTGTGCAAAACATTCTGGTGCCAACTTTTACATGAAGTTAGGAACATCTTAGAAGTGTCTTTAAGATTTACTCACCAATTATTACTTTTGCACATGTTCTTTACAGAAAAGTGATATTTTTACTTTATTTCGTTAAAAATCATGGCTGAATATAATATAAAATACATATTTGCTTACCCTTCACTTTTAATCTGGGAAAAAGTGAAATGGAATTTTAGCAATGAATCACTGAAGTCGATGGTAATAATTCAAGTAGCACCTTTTTTATAAAAAAAATGCAAGGATGGAAATGATCATGACTCTCCACAGATTCCTTTTCTTTATTATCTGTGAATTGCCATGACGTCTTGGGAAAGAAATTAGAGTGGTTTCACATTGCCTTCTCCAGACACATTTTCTTTATTATCTATGAATTGCTATGACCTCTTGGGAAAGATAGTGGAGTAGTTTCTCGTTTCCTTCTCCACAGATTCCTTTTCTTTATTATCTGTGAATTGCTAGGACTTCTAGGGAAAGATAGTGGCATGGTTTCCTGATGCCTTCTCTACAGTTTGAATTCAGGATTTTCTTTTTCTTTTTCAAGGCTAGAGGACCAAGTCTACTCTGCTATTTAGCCAGAGCTAGAAGTAGAACAGATGGATTCATGCCTTTCCTATAGACATTTTTGCAAAAGTGAATGCAACAGACTAGGCCAAAATTTGAACTCTGCATGCTGGTTCCACTTTCCATGCTGATATCCATTACACTAACCGTATGTCAAGGTAACAAGTAATGGTGCAATGGAAGACTTGAAAATTAATGAATTAAAGGACACTTTTGAAGGAAACATTATGTGAACTTGATGAATAATCCAAAGGTTAATCAATTAACTTGTTAGAATGATTCACTGGGACAGAAAGAAACTTCCCTCGGGAAGAAAGTTGATGGCTGACAACATTGTTACATGACAGTACCTATCCTCATATTATTAATATGATGCAACAAATGATTCTGTAACTTCACAGAAGGAACAACACAATTTACCCATTTGGTAACTGGAGGTGAAAGAGAATAAGAAACCCAATGCTAAACAGGGAACAGGAGATAGACATCTACTCCTGTTCAAAAGACTGGGGGGGGAGTGTGAATCAGATGGTAGGCACACCTATCTACTCTTATTGAGGAAAAAAAATAAAAATAAAAAATAAATAATAAATAAAATTTCAGAGTTTAAATGGAGATGTTAGAACTATAGAGTTGAAGTAGACTTTAGAAAGAACTGGAAACCCAATCTTAAATAGGAAACAAGGGATAAACATCTACTCCTGTTCAAAAGACTGGGGAGGAGTGTGAACTGTACAATAGCTGAACCTATCTACTCATATAGAGAATAAATAAATAGTACATCTAATTTCAGAATACAAATGGAGACATTAGAAGTATAGATTTGAAGTAGACTTTAGAAAGAATTGGAAAGCCAATCTTAAACAGAGAACAAGAGATTTAATATTAAAATATTGGTTTGACCAAAAAGTTTGTTAGTTTGTTAAGTAGAAAATTTATTTAAACTGAACAAACTTTATGGACAACACAATATTATGGACTTAGGTCATGTACAAGTACTGGTAACCTATAACATCTGGGTAAACATTAGATGACCAGATACTTCTACTTTGCATATAAGATACAGAAGATATTTTTTGAGGCATTAATTAGGGGGGGAGAGAAAAGGGGTGTTATTTTATACAAATAGGGTAATGAAGATTATTGTATTTGTGTCTTTGTTATGAGAAAGTGTGTGCGAATGTGAGCGTAAAAGATTTCTCACCTAATGAGATTCCAAAGTTTTACTGAACCATCTTGCCCACAGGAAGCCATGCAACAGGCAGTGTTCTCCATACTCAGGGTGGCCTGTGGGTGGAAGACGATGGAGCCAACATGACAATTATGGCCTAGGAAATTAAAGTAAAAAAAAGAAAAAGAAATTACACTAAACTTTAAATTGAAAAATGGTGCTGGAATTTGGGAGCCTTTTTAAATAACACAAAGTAGGTAAAATTTCTGTTCTTGGTACCACCATCAATATATATGTAGTTTTATCTTCATGAACATGAAATAGTGTATAGGACATGTCCCATACAGAAAAAAATTATTAGTATTACTAGCTTAAAAGTCACCCTACCAGGCAGCATTTGAGCTAGCTCCTGTGGAGGGCTCTTGATTAGGCCTTCATCACAATAGGTAGGGAGGAGCAGCTAAGCTACAGAAGAACTCAAAATTGATCGCTGCATTTAAGTATTGCATTAATATTTCAGCTTACCTTTGAAAAGTTCAATGATAATTCTTCTGCTGTCACTTACAATCTGATGTACGTAGGTCCTTACTTTCCACGCAAACAATTATTTTTATTTCATTGGCGACTTTTGCTGGATTTCACAATTAATTTTGATTTTTTCCCCAAATTTATTTCCAAGTTATAAAAATTGTTATCGTACAAAAAAATTTGTTGCAAAAAATCACATGAAAACAAATTACAGTAATGAAAATTTGAGAATCCAAAATTTCAGGAATGCAGGCCCTGAATGTGTTAATTTGCTCACAGAGTTGGTCTGATTCTAAAATGTTATGATATGTTGAGCTATGGCCTCTAGGAGTAAAGTTGAAAACACAGACAACTTTGTTTTGGAACACCATAATTTGAGAACAGTAATTTTTTTCAGCTGAGTATGAGCTAATGAAAGTTATAGAGTTGTGCCCCTTTAAATGTTTTCATCAGTAAAAGCCAAGATGGTGGAATCTGAAAATAATTACAGTAATGAAAACTTCAAAATCCAAAATTTCAGGATTGCGGATCTGGATCCGTCCCAGAATGTTTTTAATTTGCTCACAAAGTCAGCCTGATTTCAAAATGGTATGATACGTTGGGCTATGGTCTCTAGGAGTAAAGTTGAAAAAGTATGACACACTGACATTTGAATTTATTATATAGAAGTCAATGGAAAAGTTCTTAACTCAGTTTTGTCTCTTTCTCCTTTTGTGTCATGCAGAAAAAAAGGTAATTTTGAATCAAAAGAAAATTTGGCCAAAGAAAATAAATTAACTATATCGAATTAAAGCATGAAAATTTTGGCTACCATAAGAGCAATCATGTGCTGTCAGTAATCACTCAGAGTAGTCAGCTTGTGATCTTTATGTAGTAAATCTATAAAAAAAATAAAATATTTTGCATTTTATGCATAATAATCAGAGTAACCTTCATAATTTTGTTGGATTAGGTGCATATTGTGCCACAGAAGGAAAATGTAGCTGCTATTTATTCATTTGGGGTAGGCACGACCTACCTAAATAGTTACTCTCATTCATTGACGTACCATCAGCATCTTAATCTAAATAGAATGTTAATGAAGAAAATTGATTTGTTTTTTTGGTTTTTTTTATGGCTTATCACAACTGGGTGGAGGGTATTTAAAGGGTGGGATTTAAAGCTGAAACATACTTTTGGGACTGTAAGAATAATCCCATTTTTGGAACTTTTTAACAATTTTTTTAGATACAAGTCCTACTACTTAAGAAAGAATTGGACTCATGTTTCCCAAGGGTATTTGCATGTAAATAAATGTAATGAACCTAACTGGAATTCAAACTCAGCTCTCTAATTTCTAATCAAGAAAAAGATCTTCTTAGTGTTTGGTGGAAGTCAAAGAAATTATCGTATTGACTGGAACATAATATGATCCTGTATTTCTGAAGCTAAAAACAAGGAGTAATGATGATTTGTTTCATAACAAAAAAGGAGTCTTCATCATTTAATTGTCAACACTCCTTTCATTAGCCAATTGTAAAGTTTTCTACTTTTCAAGGGAGATAACAGCGGATTTGAAGTCAGAACATTATCATTGATAACTCCCTCCTCCAATTTGCAGATCCAAGTTACTAATGACACATAAAAGAAGAAAACTCAATACTGTAAAAGGGAATTATCATAGAAAAATACCTCAACACTCCTATTGATGATTTGTTTCATAACAAAAAAGAAGTCTTCATCATTTAATTGTCAACGTTCCTTTTATTAACCAATTATAAAGTTTTCTACTTTTCTAAATTTCTCTTCTAATGTACTGACAGATTGATACTTACTTGAAACAACAACCTTACAGCACAAGAAATATCACTCCATTTTTCAATTGGAAAAACTCAAAATAAGTATATAATTTACACAATAGGCCTCTGTTGTAACATTAATATTATCAAAACATGGCAAACCTTGTATATGCACTTTATTAACTTTTATAATCAATTTTTGGATTTTTGCTGTATCAAATTAAGTTTTTGTTTTTTTTTAAGTTGAGTAAAAATTTCTGAAAACATGGACTTGTGTATAACACACCTCCCTTTTTTACTTTTATTTTCGGTACCATATTTGACAGCATAATAGATACACAGGCATATTAGATGTACCCACCCCCATTTCAGCAGGGTATATTCAAGAAGGAAAAAGTTTTTAGCATATTTAAGCATGTTTAAACATTATATACTTAAATGATAGCAATCTATCAGTACATTAGAAGAGAAATTTAGAAAAGTAGAAAACTTTACAATTGGTTAATGAAAGGAGCATTGACAATTAAATGATGAAGACTTCTTTTTTGTTATGAAACAAATCATCAATAGGAGTGTTGAGGTACATTGCTATGATAATTCCCTTTTACAGTATTGAGTTTTCTTCTTTTATGTATCATTAGTAACTTGGATCTGCAAATTGGAGAAGAGAGTTATCAATGATAATGTTCTGACTTCAAATCCGCTGTTATCTCCCTTTAACTCCCTCTCTGTTTTTTATTTTTAAATGTACATTTTATCACATAAAATTTGGTGAGGTTTGAGCAAATTTTCATTCCAAAAAGGTGGCCCACAGAAATAAAGTTTGGGAACCATTGATATAAGTGATCATGCCCACCTCCACATCTTCCTGTCTCTTGTAGCTCTTTGTCTTTTTGTTATTTCTTCCAAACCCTGTTTTACCATCCATTTACTCAAGCACATCAAGCATGTTACCTGCTGCTTTCCTCTCTCTCCCTCAGTCTGCCTCTTCCTCATTATGTGCTCCAGAAATTTCAACTGCCTCTTCCTTATGTTAAGTATATGTTTTCCTTTTGTTTCCATTTTCTCCAAAACTTCATTGTTGCTCAAATCTTCAGTTCATGGTATCCTCAGCATCGTTCTGCAGAACCACATTTCTTCTTCCTCTTTGAAGAGATTGTCCAGCATTTGCTGCCATACAGGAGGACAGATATATACTCTTTTCTTTGTTGTTAACAAAATTTTTCTATCTCTTAATACTCTGCTTAGCTTTGGGAATGCATCTTTGGCCATTCCAATATGCCTTCCAATCTCAGTGTCTCACTTTTCATCCTCTGTTAGAGCACTTCCCAGATATTTTAATTTTTGTTTATGTTAGATTTTAGTGTCTCCAATTTGTAATTTGCATTTTGGGCTCATTCTTTTGCGATAACCATGCATTCAGTCTTCTAGTTTATTACTTAGTTCTTTCTTCTTGCTTTCCTTCACTACTTTGTGTAGGAGTTCTTGTAGTTTCCTTTCTGTGTCTGCTATCAACACTGTGTCATCTGCATATCTTATGTTAAGATTGTGGCTACCAATAATGAATCCTGGTAGGACTTAATGTAGTTGTATGTGACGATGTGAGGTAAAATTATAGTTTATAGTAGCAAGTATTGGATATAAAATAGCCTACAAGAGGTCTTGAATTTTCATATAAGGTCAAGGGTATTTTTTTTATTTTATTTTAAAAGTATGTTGTATATGCTATCAAATATGGCAATTCTTAAACTAGAACCTGAACAAACAGTTACTGCAAAACAGACCAATTATCTTGTTTGAACGATGCATTGATGGAGTTATTTAACAGCATATCAACACCTCATGGGTCATCTAATGCCAAAATTTAATTTTCTTGGGAGCTTTGAAGTAATAGAAATGATACATGTTTCACAATTGAATAAATGGTAGATGATTTTGTGCATATACATATTTGTGTGGATATAATTACTAGAGGCAGTGATAGTTTTGTTGGAGTTATATTTTGGAATACAGTTTGATTTCTTTCAGAAATTGAAGGATATTATATGGATTAATGTTATGAAAGTATTCTTTCATGTTTATTGATGCATTGTTAGTACTTTTAGGTATTTTTTTTAATAAAAATATATTGCTGGTATTTTTTACTATAAAAATGTTTTTTTTTATACTTTTACAGTGTTTTGTTTGGGGGTTCACTATTTGCTCACAGCTGGGACCCTAGTAGGTCAGGTCAGGGTAGAACTGGAAGCAACAGCAATTAAGAGGTTATTTTTTTTTATCTACAACCCCCATCCCAAAGACGAAACATCACAAGCTTCTCAGATCCTCTCCATTCCCTTCGTATTTCATTAGTAAGAAGGAAGTTCCATTTATATGGCATCTTCCCAAGAATCTCTACTTTGGATTGATTTGTTTGTTTAATGGCACATCAACTCCTTATGGGTCATTTAATGCTGAAGTTTAATTTTCTTTGGAGCTTTAACATAATAAAAATATGATATATGTTATTCTGCTTTCATAATAGAATACATGGTAGATGATACTCAGATTTTGTGCATATACATATTTGTGTGAACATAATTACTAGAGGCAATGATGTGTTTGTTTAATGTTGTAGTTTTGTTGGAGTTATATTTTGGAATACAGTTTGATTTCTTTAAAAAAAATTGTAAGATATTACATGGGTTAATATCATGAAAGAGTTCTTTCATGTTGGTTCTTTGGTTGATTTTGTTTAGTGGCATATCAACACCTCTATGGGTTATGTAATGTCAAAATCTAAATATTTTAAACATAATTTTAGGCCTTCAACTTCAAATAAAATTTATTATTAGTCATTTTGCTATAAAATTTTATTGCTGGTCATTTTACTTTAAAAATTTATTGTTGGTAATTTTACTCGCAAAAAGTGTTGTTAGTAATTTCTTTAATATAAATGAAAATATTACTATTTAATATAAATAATATATTACTGGTATTTTTACTGTAAAAATGTAGTTTTATACTTTCATAGTGTTTTGTTTTTGTTTGGTGGTTTGCTATTTGCTCATAGCTGGGAATCTAACAGTTGCTGTCACCCCAGCTCAGGGTGATAGCAATTTTAGTAATTATTTTGTATGTAATTGTATACTTTCAATTACAGATATTTTGTACATAATTTTACATTTTCAGGGTAATGGTCTGCTTTTTAGAGTACAGGGTGCGATGGATAAATTGTCGTCTAAATTATGAAAAATGAAAATAACACTGACATCTCATTTTAACAGATATATTTATCAAAATTACACAAAAATATCTTGCAATACTAAAGAGTAAATTTATTCAGTAAAATCGCCATTGGCTTCAACCATGGCCTCTAGACGTCTTCGGAATCTCTGGCAACTCTTCTGGATGGTCTCGTTTAAGTTGGTGAATGCTGGCATAATCCTTGCCTTCAGTTCATCTTTAGTGTTACAAGGAGTTTTGTTGGAGTCAATTGCACCCCACACATAATAATCAAGGGGGTTGCAGTCTGGGGAGTTAGTTGGCCAGATGTAAGGTGTGATATGATTGCAGAAATTATCTGACAGCAATGACTGGGTTCTCCTACTTGTGTGGTATGGTGCAGCGTCTTGTTGCCAGACATAGGTTCTTCCATCAGCCACCCTCTTTACCTAGGGCAGCACTACCTCCTCAAGGCACTTGATGTAGACCTCCATGTTGTGTTTGATATCCTATGGAAAGAGGAATGGAGGCTTAACATTGCCATCATTAGTGATCACTCCAAGTACTTTAGTAATCACCATTAGACTCATCCAACTCTTTCTGAATGCTTTGCACTGTTCTCAGATTGACACTCAAACACTCTGAAATGTTAATATTGGAGCTTCTGACATGAATGCCAAGCAGTACAGCATGCTGCTTCCAAATTTCTGGTGGAGTGAATTGTGTCATGGTGCTCTTTTTCTCACAGATGGTGCCCAACTGACTCTACTATACTGTACAGCCAACGAAATCAAAAACAAAACAATGTGAATGCACAAAATTAAAAACAAAAAAATGGCAACAAATTATCAATCATACCCTGTATATTGTTTGTAGATCATAAAATGTATTGTTGGTAATTTTACTATAAAATCTATTTTTATATTTAATGTTGCACTGATTGTCATTTTGCTATAAAAAATGTATTGTTGCTCATTTTATCATAAAAATATACTGTTGATTTTTGTTTGGGGGTTCACTAATTGCCCATAGCCGAGACCCTAACAGGTGCTACCACCCCAGGTCAGGGTTGACTTAGGAGCAACAGCAATTGTCGTGTTTGAATGATGCATTCAAGGTTAGAGGTGAGTGAATTATCCTCTTGGTGACAGAAGAAAAAAAACTGAAAACTTTGAACTAACCTCGTAGGACACGTATCAAATTACAATCAGGAACAGACCAGAGTTTGCACAAGCCAGACCTGAAATAGAATCAATGCACAATTGGACATCAACTTATTTTGTTAAGAGTGATTTAACAACTGAATTCCTATAAATTAAATTTGAGCCATTTTTTCCCCTGTTTATTAAAAAGTTTTTAAAAGAATTCCATTTGCTGAAAGGTTATGATTTACTCTTTTGGAAACCATCTACAAAATTATGCATATGAGATTACCATAGCTCATTAAATATTCAAAATGGCTACCACATGATTTTTCTGAAAATCAGAATTTCCCAATTTGGAACTGTTTTCTGATGTTAATCTTTAGTTTACATAAATGAATTTCTCTGGATTTAATAGTTGCTAGGCTCATCTAAAAAGTAAAAAAAAAAATCCAAAAAACTTAGGATTTAATAGTTGTCTGTTTGAGCCACAAAATAAAATTTGTTAACTTACAATCTCAGTTATCAAATGAAAATCAGAGTAATTGCAGTTCACTTAACAGGATCTTTAATATATCAATACAAAGATGTACAAAAACAAAAGATCTCTTTGTTCACATAATCAATATGTGTAAAGTACCAACTATTAAATTTCCTCATCCCTCACTGTCAACAACCATTTAATTAGACATGCCAAATTAACAGGAAAATATCACCAAATTACCAACTCTTATAAAAGGAAAGTTAAACCAAAATAGTAATTAGTAATAAATAGTTCATAAAAGTAAAAAAGAAACTATGTTGGTTTCTTTTACTAAAAATTCTACATGCTACCTTTAAAGAAAAATTTTATTTATATTATTTACATGTGAACTATTGTCCTCATCTTTGTTGTTATCATCACTATGTTTCAGGTACTTGTCGAACCAGGAAACTTTTAGGAGATTTACACCCAAGGATCTACAAAGATAGATTGTTCCCATTCAACTGGCCATGTCTAGACCTAGAGATTAAATTAAGGGTCTGGTTTGAAAGGTTACCTGAAGATTACTTCAATTGAAAAGTACTTGATGAAGGCTGGAGGGCACAATGGTTGAAATGTTGCAATAATAACAACAAAGATGAGGACAATAGTTTTTCATGTAAATAATGATAGCTCCTCATCCTAGTAATTCAGACAGAATCAATATATTGCTAAGAGTTATTTAGATTGCTGAAATCATTCTTAATGATTCCTTTGTTATTACCATTATGTTTCAGCCAATACACTCTATGGCTTTCTTTAAATGTATAATTAATAAGCAAAGGGAGGAGTTCCTTTTCCTTGCTACCATTGTCTAGAAAAAGACATTGATCTCTTTCGTCCTGTTTTGTACAAGTAACGGATGCTGTTGAATATATTAGCTGAAACATGGAGACAACAACAAAAGCAACATTAAGAATTAGTCCAATTGTTGAATAAACCTTAGAAGGTAAAAAAAGGACTCATTTTATTTTGTGAGAGATTGGGGGAATGACTTGATTTGAATCTTACCAGGATGCAACAGCCAGCATACTTGAATCAGGACTGAATTGACAAAAAGACAATGGACGATCATCACCAATTTGACTGCATTCATTTGAGACAGACTGAAAATAAGAACAAAATTATATTTCAAGTTTCTTTATAATCCAAATGCTACAACTAACATGATATTTATATTCTTTATTCAATATTTTGAAATTTATTTCCAATCTGCTTGATTTATCTTTATAAAAAGTTGACTGAAACAGATAATAAAGTTAATCATGATCAACTTATCCAATCAACTGATAAGGGCATTCCTGATCAATTTATCCAATCACCTGATATGGCCAATCCTGATCAACTTATCCAATCATCTGATATGGCCAATCCTGATCAACTTATCCAATCATCTGATATGGCCAATCCTGATCAACTTATCCAATCATCTGATATGGCCAATCCTGATCAACTTATCCAATTTTTTCAATCCTGATCAACTTATCCAATCATCTGATTTCTTCAATTATCCAATCATCTGATATGGCCAATCCTGATCAACTTATCCAATCATTCCATCTGATAAATCTGAGAACATCATCTTTGGCCAATCCTGGTCATTATCAATCATCTGAAACAATTTTCCAATCATCTGAATCCTTAACTATCCAATCATAATGACAACTTAAATCATCTGATATGGCCAATCCTGATCAACTTATCTAACTGATTTTTTCACTGGATTTAATAGTTTCTTCAATGATGCCATGTTTCATTCCTTAAATGTGAGAACATGCTTTGTTGGTATCAATAAAACATTTTTTAATTTACTAACATAATGACATTAAATAGCAGACTCACTTGTATACATATATTTATAAAATTTAACAAGAAACATTGGTGTTGCATCTTTTATGCTAGGAGATAAATTGCTTGAATCATCAAATGAACATTGAAAAATCATAAACTGAAAATCAGTTTAGGTAAGTAAAGTCAGTTAGTGTGCTAAGGACACTAAAAACATTAAAACTGAAAACCAAATTTCATTTGAAACATTAAATATTAAAAATAGAATATTTAAAAAAAATGCTATGTTTAAGTTATTTCCTTCAAAATTTTCAACAGTAATGAAGCATATCAAAATAAAGGGTAAATAATTTTCAAACTTGAAATGAAAACAGTTTTCACCTTTCCCAAAAGAGCACATACTAGCCTCAAGAACCTGAAACCTGTACTTAACTACTGAGCCATAGCCACATGTTGAGGATGTCAGGCAAGAAAGGAAATACAGATAGGTATACCACTGATTTTCTGTAGCTCTTGGATCTAAAAACATGTTGGATTATCGGTTTTGTCAACAGAAGTCATATCATAAAAGTTCAAGCTCCCTAATTATGTGTGTCGTATCTCTACAGCATTACTGACTGTTGGAAACTTATATTAAACTTATATGTAACATTTATTTAACTGCTCTATCCGGATTAAAAGAGGTACCAGATCAAAGGTTGTCAGGAAATTGACAGTGCCCCTTTAGAGAATAAGGAAAAAGTGAAAGAGAGAGAGAGCATAAAAATAAAAAAAAGATGACAATTGAAAAGTTTTAATTAAACAAAAAAGATTTACCCGAATTCTTTTGTGCAAATCATGGAGTTTAGCATCCCTTTGGGCCTTGGGCAAGTTTTTCACCTCTTTCTGCAGTTTGATTCTGGCATTGGCTCTTTAAAAAATATAAGATAGGTTCTGATGAAAAGTGGGTCAGATTTAAAATTATAATTTTTTTATGTATTTTTTAAATGTCCCATTTTAAATAGATGTTTGTTTGTTTTTTTTTTTCAATTGCATATTTATAAGGGTTTGAATTTCAATAGATTCTCTTAATTTCAATCAAAGAATTACTTTCCTCCTTATGACTGTTTCATAAAATTTTATTTTCTGGCCTTCCTCAATATAGATTGATGCCATTTCAGGAATATTAAATGGAACTCTTTATTTGATCCACAAGAGCATGTCATCTCCATTCCCTGACATGCCAGGTGTTCATTCCAACGAGTGTCAACAGGACCATTGCCATCTATTGCTGGAAATTTGTTTTTTTTTTTAAATCTATTGCTTGTATCTTTTTAATATGAAAATGTATTTTTATGCTTTCAAGTTTTTTTTTAGCCCAGTTTGGGGTTTCACTATTTGCCCATGGTTGGGACCCTAACAGGTGTTACCACCCTGGGTCAAGATGCAAATGAGAACAACAGCTATTAAGAGGTGGTTCCATACTCCTCAAATTCTTCCTATCAGAGGACTTGCTGCTGGATGTAGTTGATTGTCATGCCCAAATATTTAACATTAAGTAATTCTTTACATTCAAAAGTGGAATTAAGATACCATTAGTTAATCTAATGGCATCTTAATTCCAATTGTACAAAAAATTTTGCCCTGTTTAATGAAATTAAACATTGAGCGCTCTTTGTGAGTTAGTTTTAACATTTAATATTAAAAATTCTATATTGTGTTAATAGGACTCACTTGGATTATACCAACAGATATATAATTTATTCAAAAATTATGACACAAACATGTTATAACATCACTACAAAAATAGCAATTTTGTTTCAACACTTCTGGTATCTTCTCAAGTGATGATGTTGAATTTAGATTCTAGATTCAACACCATCACTTGAGAATAAATAATATTTGCTCTACTCTGTATTGAGCACTTTTTTAAGAATAGCATTTTTGGTTATTGGAATTTTATTCCATTTACACCAATCCATACTTGTGTAACCCGGATATAAGAGAGTTGTCGGGACTAGAGAAGAAGTCTCTTATATCCGGGTTTCTCTTATATCCGGGTTTGGTCTAATTTATATACATTAACACAGGCTCTAATTTGGGACCAGAGAAAATCTCTCTTATATCCGGGTTACACTGTATACACACACACACACACCATATTTGAATGTAAATAAATACCCCTGGCTTCATTTCAGTATAGAGTTAAAAATGACATGACATAGAATGTCTCACCAAAGAGCACTGGTTAAAAAGCTAGTCTAGAAAACCATTAATACTGCAGTTGAAGTAATCCTTAGCTTATCAAAAATACACTGACTACATCCCCATGCATATTAAATAAAACAAACTAAATCTATCTTATTCTCACCAGGTGTCCTACATTTGTGGGTTTGTGCCACACAAAACTTAAGTCAGCTTTGTAAATATGTATAAATTTAAAAATGAAGATGCACTAGTTAGATATGTAAATATTTCTTTTTCCATATTTAAATATAAGATTTCTTTTTCATTCTGTTTGTAAATTGCAAAAACTCTTGTGTATTTGTGCATGCATTTGAAATAGTATAGGATTGAAAATGGACTCACTTGGGAACAGAATATAGAGCCAGCCAGTAACGAGCTTCTTTTAATGTTTCCGATCCTTCGTGGTACCATGTGATGTTTTCCTTTTTTTAAAAAAAAATAAAGAGGTTCATTAAACACAAAACTTTCAGGACATTTACTCATAACCAGAGATCCCCCATTTCTGTTACAAACAAAATTTGGCTGATGACTGAGAAGTTTTATCTGAATTTTGTCAGGACTTTTTAATTTAATTTTTAAATTTTGGCTGAGTTGTTATTCTGAATTTAGTTTCATACATTTGGCTCATAAAAAAAAAAAATTACATTATTCTTTTACCAGATGAAGTTTTCTTCAACCTAACATTTTATTTTTTTAGCAATGATGAAATATAATTGTTCTTTCACACAAATTGTTTTTCGTAACCTTTATCATTCAGTATGTGACTTCCTCTGCGATACAAAAAGTCTATCTTGCCACTGAAGGTGACTCTAATCCCTGAACAATAGTTTGTTTGAATTTCATAGTTGTGTTATCATATCCTGCTATGGCAACAAAAAACAGCTTTGAGTGAAATTATCAGTAAGGATACTGCAATTTAGAGGCCTTGAAAAAGAATGCAGTGGAAAGGGAATTAATATTAATTATGCAGAGTGCTGAAGGCTAAGTGACACATAGGGAGTTGATATGCTGTTAAACAATCAAATCAAAGCACCCGAGGAAAATTAAATTTCAGCATTAACCTTTATCACTCTGTATGTAACTTCATTTGCTGCACAAAAAGTTTATCCTGCCACTGAAGCTGACTGATTCCTGAACAACAATATGTTTGAATTTCATAGTTGTGTTGTCATATCTTGCTATCATAATAGAAAACAACTTTGAGTGAAATTACCATTAAAGATACAGGAATTGAGAGGCCTTGAAAAAGAAGACAGTGGAAAAGGAAGTAATATTAAGAATGCTGAGTGCTAAAGCTTAAAAAAACATACACCACACTCAGATTAAAGGGAGATACTGATTTTTTTTTTTACAGTTTATCAACCCTTTGCAGGTTATTTAAAGCCAGAAAATATTTTTACATAGTAAGAATTTTTTCTAGGAAATAATGATTTATAGATACAAGATCTACTAATTAACTCATAACAGGGGAGGAAGAGAAGGATTCATACCATCTCCAAGGGTGTAAGTGAATATAACATAACTGGCTGGATCTGGAACTTGGCTTTCTGATTTCCAATTCCAAGTTGTTATTCATTACACCACCAGTACAACCAAGCTTACAACACTTGAAATTCCCAAGCAGTCACCCATCTACATACTCACCAGGCTCAACATTGCTTAACTTTAAGCAAGAGATAAAGATAGATAATTTTTGCACCAAAAGCTCATTAAAAAAAATTCTATAAAAAAATTTCAATTGATACAAAGCAAGCATCCATAATTTGCTAGATCTAATCCCGGAAGCTAGACTGGTGTTGCATAAAGACATCAATACAGCTGCCATATCTGGGCAGGAGTTATCGAGTGCAAAAGGGTCTACACAGCCTTGGGGGTGATGAATTATTTTTCCCTATATAACTTCTTTCCCACAGATAAAATGTTGCAAGCCTTCTCTATGTCTATTTCCATGGTCAATATTCTGACAAGCTACGTTCATTAGTCTGACCAGTCCAGAAATTCACAGCTAAAACTCACCATGTCATGTATTTCCATTAATAAGAAGGAACTTACATTTGGATAATTTCTTCCCCAAAACCACTAATTAGTGGAACAGACTCCCAAGAGAGTGCTTCCACAAACTCTACCCCTTTAATATGGCTTTGTCAGAGCACAAGGTAAAGCAATGGGGATAAAAAAGAATTACCAAAACAAATTTACATTCCATCTGAGACAACTTTTAATTGAGACAAATTTAATTCACACTGATACTCTTAGAAAGGCATGAACTTTCATTTCCCTTCAAGCTGTCCCATCCCTAGATATTTTCTTTGATCATTTCACCCCAAGGAAGGTGATGATGCCACTAGGATGCAAAGGCATTACAGGAGTGAGAAAGAGACTGAGGAGAAATGAGGAGAAAGGACAATAAAAGAACAGGATTCAGGAAGACATTCAGAAGATGGCAATTGTCATTGCATTTAAAGTTTTGAAGATTGTAGATGGTAAGGAAGCAAGAAATTGGTAGGGAGTTCCATAGGCAAGGAAAGAACCTATTAAAATAGAACATATGGTTGCATTTAGTTAGTTCAATACTAAAATGGTGAGACAGAAGAGGATCTCTATGGTAATTACTATATATACTCGTGTCTCATGTGATTTCTGAAGATATAATATTGAAGCTAATTTTAAGGGGGGTGCATCATATATAAGATATAAAATTAGTGTATGTACTGCTGGCACTGGCTACACTGTTGACCAAACTATATATCCATTTATTGTAGTCAAATTAGCTTCAAAATTAGGTCTTCAAAGGCTGCATAATATGTGCATATATACAGTAAATGAAAGCTGTTTTGCACTGAAGGCATCCAAATTTACAAGCCATTTCTTGCCCCAGTTAACCACTGATTGGAAGTCCTTTTTGAGAGAAGTTACCAGTTTTCCCTTGTCAAACTTGCTACTAAGACAAGAGTAAATAGTTGTGTCATAAACCTAAATTCCTAGTTTGGAATTTATGACATTGGGAAGTAAAAGATGCCTTGTCTTCCAAAACTGCCATCATAGTTAATAAAGTAGTTGGACAAACCATTCTCCTATGATTATCTTATTTGACTAGGCAGCAGTAATTATAAATATCTATTAAAGCTACTTGAAACTAAGACAGGTCTGAGTCAATGCAATACACAGTTAATAGACTTTTGCATATGCTTCCAGATGCCTGTATAATTTTAGCAGCTTCCAGTGGATTGCTGGCTTGGAATGAGAAATGGAAGAGTCGAGTTTGAATTCCAGTTGGGTTTTTATATTCATATATACACAAATATCCTTGGGAAAGGTATAAATCCATCCTCTTCTCCCAGCAATGGGTTAAATAGTAAAACTTCTATCTGGAAAAATCATTGCTACTCTAAAAAATTGTTAATGCAATATTCACTCAAAAAAAAAAAAAAAAAAAAAAAAAAATTATTCTTACAATAATAATAATAATATAATGAAATGGTAATCTTTATAAACATCAACAAAATACCATACTTGCCACAGGCCTGAAGTAGGTAAACCATTGCTAGTGGTGGACTATTTAGACAGCATATTACCCCCATTTACAAAAGTGTCCAACATATTTATGAGGATTGAGATATACCCATTAGTGTTCATAGGTACGGTATATAACACAATCCAAAACAGGTTTCAGCTTTAAATAACCCACAAAGTATTAATAACCTATAAAAAACAAATCACTCAAACTATCTGCTTGCATAATTTTAAAATCTTCTACTTGCTTGAATAATTTTAAATGAAACTCAATTGCATAATTTTAAATGCTTTCACTTGCCTGAATAATTTTAAATGCTGCCACACACTTGCATAATTTTAAATGTTTCCACTCAATGGCACTAATTTAAATGCTTTCACCTGCTTGAATAATTTCAATGTTTGTACAATTTCAATGACTTGTAATCTTACATTTGTTTTTGGCCACATCTAAAATTTCATTTGGCTTCCAATATTTGCAATGTTCCACATACTTTCTGCTATTTGTAAAATTTTTGCAAAAAAACTAAAAGTAAATATAAAAACACAAAAGACAAGCCTCTTCTTTTTTCTTCTTTTGTTCTGCTTGTTCAATTTTCTTCTTCTTCACTGTGTCTTCTCCAATCTGTGCCAAAAGTTGACGCAGACGTTCTCGACGATCAGCAGGGCCTTCCCCAAACAGACCTAAGCAAACACAAATCAGGATAAAATATTTTTGTTTCATTTTTTTTTTTTTTTAGATGAATTGCTGTTTATATTCAAATATTGGAACAAAAGTTCATAGCACTTCTTGAGAGATGATGTAATTTTATTTCACATATGACTGAAATTTATGTTAAATATAAATATTCTGAAAGATGATATTTTAATTCATATTTCTATACAATTTGAGTGTGGATCTTAATTTTCAATGTTTTTACATTAAAATAGAGAAAAATTTAATGTCATTTTTCCTGGAAAGAAAAAATACTATACAAACAGCAAAAAAGATATATGCCATTTATAGAGATGGTATCATAGGTGAGAGTATTGTTCATAAGTAATTCTGAAGTAGAAATTTCATCTGAAAGACCAAAAATGTTCTGACAGGCCTGTAGCCATTGATGATGATCGAATTGAAGCATTGATTAAAAGTAATTCAGGTCATATGAATCGGACATTGCAGATATATTCCACACATCTCGTACAAGTGTTGTAAGACATTTGAAAACACTTGGATGCATGAATTGCTACTATGTTTGGATGCCTCACGATTTAACAGAAAAAAAGTTTAAATGGGCCACATTTCCAGCTGCTATTCTCCACTAAAATGCAACCGAAATTAACCATTTTTCAAAAGAATGGACACAGATGATGAAAAATGGATTGTTTACAACAATGTGGAATAAAAAAAGCTCCCAGGGAAAATGAAATATATCACAAGCATTCCAAAAGCCGATCAGCATCGGAAGACAGTCATAATGCATATCTGGTGAGATTGGAAGGGCATTGTATACTGCAAGCTCCTACAAAATCAGATATTGAATCCAGACAAGTATTGTTCTTAATTGGACCAGTTAAAAGATGAATAGTGTCCAGAACTGACCAATCAGAAGGGTGTTGTCTGGTAGCAGGTCAACACCAGAGCTCATCTCAATTTGCAGACCTAGCAGAAATTAGTATGGCATAGCTTGAGGCTCTTACTACACCCACTGTATTAAACTGACCATGCACCTTCAGATTACTAATCATTTCAATCCCTAAAAAATTTTCATAATGGGAAGTACTTCATTTCTCTTTGAAGCCTGTAAAATCCATTCAGAAAGATGTCAAGTTCAAGGAAGGTGGAGCCATGAAGTTGCCTTAAAGATGACAAATGGTAGTGGAATGATATTATCTAATTATTATTTTGTCTTTGAAATTCAATTGATTCTAAGAAATTTTGTTCTGAACCAATATTTTAATCTTCATTTTTGGAATTGGTTGTGTTGCTGATAAAAAAGATGATATTTCAATGCCTATTTCTATAAAATTTGTGTGTGGATTGTAATTTTCAATGTTTTACATTAAAAGTGAAAAATGGAAGAAAATTTCATATTCTTTTATTTCCAGAAAGAAAAAATATACTATACTAAACAGCGAAAAAAGTGTGCATCATTTATAGAGATAGTATCATAGCAGAAAGTATTGTAGCTGATAAAAAAAAAATAATTTTAAGAGCAAAGAGGACACAGCAAATAACTTACCTAACGAGCTTGTGTAAATGAACAGCAAAACATGGATTGGGGGTGGGGGGGTAAAGGGAAAAAGTATTTCTTTGAACTACAAAGTATGGGAATGGTAATGCCAGTATTAGTTGTTTCTTTATAAGGAAACATTTGGCATTCATTAACCGAGCAGCCAGTGCTACTTTCAGTTGAAATTTATAAAATCTTTCTTATATAACAGTTTTTCAGGAAAATAGATTTCCCAAGTCTTGTAAGTGTTATTGCTCTTTCCAGTATTGATGGGAGTTTCCTTACTAATCTTTTGCTTGAAACAGTGTGGAATGTCAACATCTTGATTATGTCATTATTTTCTTTTTGTTTTACATGTGCTATCCATTTTTGTTGTTGCTGCTGTTGAAAATCCTCAAGTGATGCAGCTTCTGTTACTTGGTACATTTTATTGTGGTTCTATAATGTGCCAGTCCACAAAGTTGGAAATCATGAATGGCTATGATCACTCACATCCTGAAGGGATGCAGCACATAAGAGAAAAGTCACCAGTTTAGTGCCAGGAATTAACTTATCTCAGTGTCAGTTTAGTGCCACAGATATAACATGCCTTACAATAGTTTGTTATTCTTTAACAAAATGAGAGTATCTCTTTGGAAAACAAAGAAAATTTACTTGTTGCATTATGGGCAGATGCATGTTTTAAGATATTTTATACTCGGTTATCTGTGCTGAAAATGGAATCAGCATACAGAGTTCAAATCTGATCAAGTCTGCTTCATTCAGTTTCCAACTAATTGGAAAAGGAATGAATTCATTTTCTTCCATCTTTGGGTTAACAGCAGGGCAAACTGAGTGTCTTTCTTTGGTTGTTAGAGAGCCTAAGAAAATGAGATCTCTGAATTCAAACCCTTGTAAACATTAGGGTACACTAGGCTCATTAAGCCATAATAGAGCAATTAGTCTACAAGGAAAAGTCAGAATTTAAAACCAGCCGAAAGATTGGTGGGCTTTGTAAAGCTAACATCCATAGCTGAGTATACTAATGATGCTAATGGGTTATGGAACTTGTGGGCAGAATTCATTTAAATTATTAAAATATTTTAACACATTTATATATGTTACATTTATTAGACATAATGTTGTAAAGGTTACATTTATTAGACATACTGTTGTAAAGGTTACATTTATTAGACAGTCTGTAGTGCATGTTACATTTGACATCCTGTTGTATATGTTATATTTATTAGACATCCTGCTGCATAGTGTTTTTCCAAGCATAGCTTAGATGTAGCACAAGGCCAAAAATATGGGACATTCAGTGAGGATCAAATTCACTACTCAGTTGTAATTGTTCTAGCGAGACAAGCTTTCTAACCATTACACCACCTCAAGGTACCTTGTCCTGCTGTATATGTTACATTTATTAGACTTCCTGCTGCATATGTTACATTTATTAGACTTCCTGCTGCATATGTTACATTTATTAGACTTCCTGCTGTATATGCTACATTTATTAGACATCCTGTTGTATATGTTATATATACACATGTTGATTTGTATGAAAATCTGTTTTAAATCCACAATAATAACTTTCTATTTCCATTAATTTTTTTCGGGAAGGGAGAGTGGGTGTTAAACACAACTCAAAAGTTAAAAAATAGACTTGACAATGACTATGTGAATGCTAATTGATAAAAATCAAGAAAAACTTCTCCCCATGATTAATTTTTTTTTCTCATGAAAAAACTGATTCAGAAGTTACATTAAAAAAATAAACATGAATGGTAATTGATTAGTGGACCAGCCAATATTTTTCTTCTTGCCTTTTAAAACTGACAACGTTATCATGTAGATCACTGACATCCAAATTAATAAACATAGTTTTTGTAAAATTTAAGTAAGTAAAATTTCAATCTGGATATTGGTACATTCCTGGTGTATTGTAGACTGTGGTTAAGGAGGGGGCAACATGTTTTTCAACTTTAAACACAAAGCAAAGAAGAAAATGTTATCATCAACTTTCTGTACCAAATTAAATTTTTTACTTCAATTTCTTCCATATTTCTCTATCGACAGTAAACATCGCCTTAACTTTAAATTGTTTTAACAGCTACCTATATTTCTGAGATTAAGTATTGTAACTATTTACACTATTTACATTATTCAGACTATTGTCTTCATCTTTATTGTCATATTCACAATGTTTTGGCCATTCTTCAGATGATATACGTTGGAATTTCACACTGAACTATTTATTTAGCCCATGGGGTTAGATTGTTCTAGTTCCACAAGCCATGCCTTTTCTGGATATCTCAGTTTTCAGTTAATTCCCTTTAATAACTCAACTCCCCAAGTTTTTGTTCGGCTGTGGCCAGGTATCGAACTCACAACTCATTGAGTCAAGTCACTTTTGGACTACTTCAACTAATGCTTTTATCCACTGGGCCATGTCTTCTTGGGAACGTATATTATCTGAAGAAGGCCTGAGCGTACAATGGCTGAAACATGAATATGAAACTGAATATGAGGTCAACAGTCTGAATAGTGTAAATAGTCAAATTGCTTTGTTTTACAATCATGTACATAAACACATTGCTAGTTGATGTTCAAGACTAGGTATTAAAAAAAGTTTCTAGTAAATACATAAAAATAGAAGGGACATAAGACAAGGATGTGTCTTCTCACCAGACTTATTCAACCTTTACAGTGAGATGATCCAGAGAGAATTAGAAGTCCTACCAGGATATATTATTGGTGGTCACAATCTTGACAACATAAGATATGCAAATGACACAGCATTGATAACAGACACAGAAAACTACAAGATCAAACAAAAATTACAAGACAGAATGCATGGTTGTTAGCAAAAGGGACAGCCCATCATGAAATTTACAAAGTGGAGACACCAAAACCTAGCAAGTATAAAAATTTTAATATCAAGAAAGTGTTTTAACAAATGACAAAAAATGCAACACCAAAGTCCAAAGGTATATTGAAATAGTGAAAGAAGCCTTCCAAAAGCTAAGCAAAGTATTAAGAAACAGGAAAAATTTGTTAGAAACAACAACAAAAAAAAAAAAAAAAAAAAAAAATAGTACTGAACTGTTATGTAATATCTGTCCTCCTATATGGCAGTGAATGCTGAACAATCTCCTCACAGGTGACGATAAGACTTGAGACAACAGAAATATTGTTCTACAAAGGATGCTGAGAAGACTATGGACTGAACATGTGAGTAATTAAGTTTTTGGAAAAATGGAAACAAAAAGGACTATCAAGGGCAGATACTGGGGGAATTTGACACTCACAGGACACTGAAGGCGAGGGACAGAGGAAAGCAGCAAGTAACCTACCTAATGAGCTTGTGTAAATAATTGGCTGACAGAACAGGGACTAGAAGTGATAGTAAAAAGACACACTTTATTAAAAGCCACAAAGGACAGAGCCATAATTAATCATGTCCTGAAGGGACATGGCACAGAGAAGAATAAACTTACAAATAGGTTCTCCTAATTGTCGCATGGTAGCTTTCACTTCAACATCATCAGTGGATACTTGAATTTGACGAGCCTAGAAACAAAACATTTAGAAAAAATAAAGAAAAACTTGTTAATATTTCATAGAATAAAAAGGCTTCTCTGCATTAATATTATGTTTATATTTTTTATATTAACATTATGTCTATATCATTTTATATTAATATGTTTATATTTAGGCATTAATATGTTCATATCTTTTTATATTAATATTATGTTTGTATTTAGGGATTAATATTTCATCTTTTATATTAATATTATGTTTATATTTAGGGATTAATATTATGTCTATATCTTTTTATATTAATATTATGTTTATATTTAGGGATTATATTATGTCTATGTCATTTTATATTATGTTTATATTTAGGGATTAATATTATGTCTATATCATTTTATATTATATTCATATTTAGGGATTAATATTATGTCTATACCATTTTATGTTTATATCTTTTTATATTTTTTTTGTATAAACTGTATTTCTGTTTCTCACAAGTAAAAAAGAATGTTGCATTTTTGCCAGTTCTTATATCAAAATGTAACTTTTCAAAACTGCAAAATTAAAGAAAAGAAATTGAATATCTAGACAAAATAGTATGCCCTAATCAAAAAAATTCATAATTTTACTTGATTTAAAGAAATATATTAATCCAATGTTTTCTAACCTTTCTTCTTACAGGTGTTTCAAAAACTCTCTCAAGAAAGTTAATTTTAATGTTTTATGTTTAATTTTTAAAAGAGTCTTTTCTTTAAAATATTTTTCAATTTTTTTTTTTACACTGCAGAATTTATTTAAAAAAATGCTATAATTTGGTACAAAGTAAATTTAATATTTTTCTGATATTGTTATTCATAACAAATATATTGACAATAAAATTTAATTTTCTAACTATTAAAAAAGTATGTTGAATTAAAAACATAAAATGGAAGCAAATGCAATATTTTTTATACTATTAATGAAAAAGTCATTTATTAAAATGTTGTTATATAAAGTTAATAGCATATAATTCAATATTTTTAGATTTTTTTTACAATGATGTTCATCCCATACAAAGCACAAGAGGCGCTCAAGGTAGAGGGTTACAGAGTAAGAGACATCATCCCAAGCAAGGAGATAAAGCCAACAAGACACAAGGGGTCACTGGAAGAGAAAGAAGTGATATTTCATCTTGTTTCTTTAGTACTGCCTAATGGATTAAAGTATTGGTTTGTGAGTTTGGTAACATAGTACTTGTGAGTTCATTCCCTGGGCTGGGTAGTAGAGACTTCGATTCAGTGGAAACAAGGCTAGCAATAACTGAACAGTACAAAAAACACACACAAAAAAAAAAACAAAAAACAAGATGAGATATCCCTAAACATGGACAGCAAACAGATTACTGCAATGGTTTCTATAAAAGTTATAAAAATATTCAAATCTCTTTTCAAAGGCCAAACTTAAATAATTCTTCTTCCAAGTGACTGAAAATGAATTTCACAAATACAAGGAAATCAACACACACACACACACACACACACACACACAAAAAAAAACAATTTAAAAAAAGCTCAGACACACACACTGTAAAGATTGGTTTATTACTCACCCTTTTCCTGCGTTCAAATTCAGCCAACAGTTCTGCTTGACTTTCACTCGGCTCATCATCAATTTCAAAAGCTGACCCTAAAAGACAAATCCCAACAATCAATGCCAGGGGCATATTTCCTTAAGATTTAATAAGGTTTACTTCAAATCTAAATTTCTTCATAATATTTACATGTTTATGAAACCAAAAAAGAATTTTTTCCAGTAATCCCAGACTTTACACAGCTATATTTAGCTGTCCCCACCCCACGTGGGGTAGCATGTGGCACAAGGCCGAGGTTTAATGTGGGTCATCTGATCACTAAAGATGGGATAGGAAAAAAAATATAGCCTTTGACACATTTTTCATCTTGATGTCTTTTCTCAATTGTCATAACCTCCCGAACGAAACCATTGCCCCTTATAAAAAGCTTTGTCCGGTTCCTCCCTGTAATTTTAGATATTAGACAGGATTTCCTGTAAGTTTTGGTACAGACTTTACACAGCTGTGACACCATGATTAATATTCAAGAGGCTAAAATCGATTTATAGTATCGGGGTCATAGGAGCAAAAATGATCACTAAAGATGAAGGATGGGAAAGTAAAGGAAAATTTTAATGACACGTTTTTCATCTTGATGTCTTTTCTCAATTATTCAATATGCATTTTTCAAAAATTCTTGTAATTCATTATAAAAAGGAAATTTTTTTAACATTTTGGTTATTTTTTATGACATAGGATTCATTAAATTCTTTAAAGGAATTAGTTATTCTTCTATTAATCGGTCCATTTTACTGTAGGTGTTTTATTTGATTCTTTTAGGTGCCAATTCAGAAAAATTTATAAAGAGGTTTGATTTTATATTTATTATCCAAATGAACTTTGATGTTGGTTGAATCTTTTTCTCTTACTCATGGCCAATGCAACCTATATATATTTTTTAAAAAGATTTTTTTTTTTCAGGACTTTTGTAACCTAATATTCATACATACTTATACTTGATGTTTAAAAATAATTCACATACTGTAAGGGTTTCTAATACATTTAATTGTTCTTAAAAGAAATATAGTATATTAAAAATTAAAATATTTCAAATCGTAGTTAAATAAAACGTATTCTAACCTAAACACCCCTCAAAAATCTTTAAATATACAACTAGAAAAAAATGACGAAAGAATTTTTGCCGTTAACAATAAATTTTTTAAAAAAATCCAGACGACATGCATTTAACGGAAGTTAGATTTGATTGAAAAATACATCCCTACCCCCTACCAAAATGTAACTAATAACTGATACATCAAAATACAGACATAATGAACACGCAGACATCCCTTGTCTAGTGGAAGTGGATTTATCTGTAACCTTGGAAACATGAATTATGATTTTAGCTGTGTCTTTAAAACCCAGTAATTTTAAAAGTTACTCCAAAATTTGCCTGAGGATGAAATGGAATAATGTCTTTAATTACAAAATTAAATTCGGAGCTTTTAGCTTCCATTTTTGAAACATGGTTAGAACTGTGTAGCGAAAAAAAAAAACATATTTTAAGTCAATTAATTTATAATATTAATGCTCTGTAAATTTACATTGAGCACTATTTTGTAAAAATAAAAATATATCTATAAGAACACTGGATTATATATCTTACTGTTCTTTCTTTTTTATTTATATATACATATATATGTATGTGTATGTGTGTATATATGTATATGTGTGTGTACTTAGCTGTGTGTGTATGTGCGTATATATGTGTACATATGTAGGGGTGTGTATATAGGTATATGTATGTGTATGTATCGATGTACATGTATGTGTATATATGTATATTTATGTATACGTATATGGATGGATATATATGTAGATGTGTGTATATATGTGTGTGTATGTTTTGGTATGTATGTACTCATATATATTTGTATATGGGTGTATATGTACGTATATATATATGTGTATATAGTTAGATGGATAGATATAAGGATACATTGTCTATTTGTTTAAATGGGTGTATATAATTGTATAGAAATGTAAGGTTTTAGGTATATATGTTTATGTGCACGTATGCGTATGTCCATATGTATATATGTAGGTAAATGTGTATATATATGAAGGACTGGATGCGGATGTATGTATGTGTGTATATATGCATGTATGTGTGTGTATGTATTTTTGTATATTTTTGGTTTTTATATATATATGTATATATGTGTATATATGTATGTGTGTATGTATATATGTATATGTGTGTGTATATGTAAGGGTGTGTATATGTATATATGTGTGTGTGTATACACGCATATACATGCATATGTATGTATATGTGTGTGTATGTGTGTATGTATATATATATATATATATATATATATATATGCATGTGTGCATGTGTATGTATGTGAAAAGTGTGTGTATATGGATATAGATGAATATGTGTATGTGTGGATATGTGAATATATTTTTATATGTGTGTACATGGGTATATGTATGTGTGTATGTGGGTATACGCCTATGTGTATGTAAATACGTGTATATGTTATTGTGCATGTGTGTATTCGCATATGTTTTTGAACACAGAAATTAAATATAGGTCCTTGCTGGATTAGATAATCGTTATATTTATTTTTTATATGTTTATATTTGATTTGTAACCTGTAGTCGATATTAAATTTGTCAAATTTTCTCAATTACAAAGCGGCCCTTTAAGTAAATGCAATTTTACTTTCCTTCGCCCCATCTCTCTCCTCCACCTCATCTTTCCCTCCCTCTTATTCTAACATTAGATTGTCTATGGTAGGTGTATGTCAACACGAAATGTATCTTTATGCATTAGACACCCACCTCTCCTAAAATTCTCTCTGTTAAGGTTTGATCTCCCTCCTCCTCATACTTACACTCTCTCTAAATTCTGTTTTTATTTCCAGAGTTGTTTTTTTTTTTTTGTTTTCTTTTTGAATTTGTAGGTCTGATGAATTGGATTGTATTTACGATTCCAATGGAATAAATTATGACCATGGAATATTAGTGTTTAAACCTTTTTTATTTTATATATATATATATATATATATATATATATATGATGTAATATATTGTCTAATAAACAAAAGTCTGTTAATATTGCTGAAATTTTTTTTAATAATGTAATATATTATTTTAGTTTGAGATTAATGTATGTATTATATATATTTTAAATAATAGAAGGTTTGGAATTTAACCATTTTCTTTTAGATTTTATGTAGACAGAAAATTCTTAAGAGTGTTGCTATCGAATCTTACCAAAATATAAATCTTCACCCTGGATTTTTTTCAAGTATCTCTTCTAATAGAAGTAAATACTCCTTTCCCAAGCCAACATATATAATTATAAGTTTTTTTTAAATTAAAAGGAAATGGCTAAATTCTAAGCCTTCCATTATTTAAAATATATAAATTAATTTCTCAAACTAAAAATAATATAAATAAGAATTATATTATATAACAAATTCAGCAACATTTACTCACTGTTGTATGCAGATTGTTTAAACATTTCTGAAGGAGTTGGATGCTATGCATGACATCCGCATGAGTCTCTAAATTTGATGAGTCTATTGAAAAACATGACTATAAATAGTGAACAGAAAAATTAGTATATTTAAAAAAAATTTTAAATGTAAAAATGATTATTCAAGAAAACCAGCATCAGCCATTAAGGATCAACTCGATGTGGCATCAAAAGTGACTTCATGCCTGGAATAGGTGGTTCTGATTCATGTCCGTCTTCCCATTGACGAAGACAGCATTTAAGCTTTAAGCATTCAACACACACACAAACCCTGCCCCATAAATATCAGCTCACAAAATCTCACCATTTGTGGTCAAAGTTTCACTGTTTGCATGACTTCCTGCATTATTTGCAATGATATCATCATATATTATCACAGCAGTGATGTGCAGAAGTTTGGCGATCCCTGGGGCCAGCTCCTTGATTGTAAGCACCTCTAAGACTCAAGTAATGAGGGCTTACACCCAATTTTGCTTATCAAAACACAAATCCACATTCACACCAGCTTGTGGGAGTGTAGGGCACTTGTACTATGAAGTTAACAGAAACAATTTCAAATTTTCAAAAACTAAATTTTTATTTCACTCTTTGATTGGATGCCCTCCTGATATGGATGCCTGGGGCCATTGCACCCTCTGCTTCATTTTCCCCACACTACTGTTGCAGAATATAGATGATGCAGGTTTCAGTGGGTTGAACAGTGAGAGCTGATATTTACAGGTCAGGTTTGGGCATGTTAAATGCTAAAGGGTCAATAAAACCTTGCAAGACCAATGCATACTACTCCGAAACCCTCCAGTGGAGGCTAGTGCACTATCTTACCAACATTTATATATCTTACAAATTAAACTAAGCACAACTGACTATTAAAGAATTAAAAATTTCTGTGGATTTTGACTTCATTCTGAGTTTTTTTTTTGTCCAAATCCATGAATTTGTTTTGCTCATGCTTAGCCTTGAAAAAAAACACTATATAAAATCCACTATTTTTTATTCATAGTGTTGAATATGTTAAAATTATTCAATTTTTTAACAAGAAAAACTTCAAGTTGATGTTAAAAATTGCTGCAAAACATTGTTGATTTATTTAAGATGGAATGATCTATTATGACATGTCAGTAATTTGTATTTAGATACATTGTATTTATTTTTAATCTTTAAAGTTGAATTGTTCTCCTATATGACAAATATGTATATAATTAGGTTACAACAAAATTTATATTTTATATGAATACTACCTTATGAAAGTTGAGATGTAGTTGAGTGGGAGACCCCTGTATCATGGATTTGGTGGCTGGGGGAAGAAACCCTTGCACTGGGCATACTGGTTTATCGCCCCTTTTATTGATGCTTCAGGGACAAAAATTTTTTTTCTAGCATTATAATTCTGGCTTGGAAATAGCCAAGTTCCAAGGTGGTCAAATTAAAAGTGTAAAAAAAAAAAAATACACTGTAGAGATAAATAAAAAAGGAGAAGTCTTATCAATAATAAATGGGAATAAGGAAAGTTACGAACCATCAGAAATATTAATATTTCCAGCAGCTATACCAGCTTCAATTGCACTTGATGTCTTACTCTGGGAGTCATTCTCTGAATTTAGATTCTGTCGTTCTTTCTCTTCAAGGCTTCCATAATGCAGGACTTTTTCTCTTTTGAAATAAGACACTTCATTCTCATCATCTGACATTCTGAAGATAATATTCTAAAAGGAAAACAAATTAAGAGATTATATTAAAATTTTAAAATGTTTCTGCATATTTAACTATTAATCATGAATGGATAAGTGATGACATTTTTTGCTTGCCCACAATAGCAAGGTCAGATTATGGTAATATAATTGGTTGGTCTTGAAGATAAGACTTGAGGCAACAAGGATATGGTTCTACAGAAGGATTTGAGAATATCATGGATGGAACATGTGAGCAACAAGAAGGTTTAAAGAAAAATGAAAACAAAAAAAATGACAATTATACATAAAATCAGAAAGATTGATTTGTTTTTACAGCTTATCAACCCATTGAAGGTTATTTAAATCCAGTAAAAATTTTACTAATAATAATGATTTCTACTGATACAAGTTCTAGTAATTAATCCATAGCTGGGAGAAGAGCTGGATTCGTACCTTTCCCAAGGATATTCATGCATAACAAACCTGACTGGGATTAGAACTCGGTTCTCTGATTTCCATTTCCAAGCTGTTATCCATTACACCACCACACATCCAACCTTACATCATCTAATATTACCAAGCAGTCACCCATCTAGGTACTGACAGGCTTGACATTGCTTTACTTCGGTGATTGTACAAGAATTGGTGCAAAATCAGAAAGAGACAGTTGAAATTTCTGAGACACATAATGAAAATTTGGAAAATCTGACACTCACGGGATACATTGAAAGCAAAAGTGACAGACAAAATCATCATGTAAACTAACAAGCTTATGTAAATGGGTGGCAGAACAGGAATGGGAAGGGGTTGTAAAAGGTCAAACATCACTAAGAGCTAAAAAAGATAGAAAGTTATAGAGAGCTATGATCGCTGATGTCCTGAAGAGACCTGGCACATAGGATAAGGTTCCTATTAAAATTAAGAATAGAATAGCTTTTTGCTGGTAATAGCTTGTGGAAAAATAAGTGAAATTACTTGTGTGTGTGGGTTGCAGTCAGACATGGGAGGCATTGTGTTTGCCATGGCTTGTTTTTCAAAGTGAGGCCGCCCCACGTACTGGGTTTTGTAATCTTTTTACTAGAAGGAGTGGGATGAGCAGTTCTGCCACCTTGTTACTTAAGGCTTGCCTTCCCTCAATTCTCATCTTTTTTTGTGAGTGGGACATTATGAGGACAGAGTCATTATGTGTGCTCTCTTCTTCTCACATTATTAATTGGTCCCTGACTGAATTTTGGGTCACTAGACTAAGCAGTGTTTTACAACACTTACTGTACCGGACTGGCTTCTGATCTAGCCTTTGAGTTGAAAGGAATTTTCACAACCTGGGCTTCTTCAATCTGCTCCACAATCATTGCAACATACCAGTGATATATGTATTTACTTATCTAATAGAGAGCAGGGAGAAATAGATTCATGCCTGCTAGAGGGTATAGATGCAAAGCAAAAACTAAACACACTTAGTTTACTGATTGTATTTTTAGTTGATTGCCATTGACATTCCGTTATTCATAAAATAAAAACATTTTTCTTTTTATGTGTCATGTCCTTTCAGGATGTAGGCGATCATGGCTCTCCACCTCCCTCTATCCCTTGCAACTCTCATCAAGTTCCTTCCCTCTGCTTCGTTCCCCAGACCACGTTCTGTCATCCACTTGCTTAAGTCTGCCAGGTATGTCACTCATTGTTTTCCCTTATCTCTCTTTCCCTCTATTCAACCCGTGGGTATCTGATTCTCCAGGCACTCCTTCCTCATTGTGTCTCAGAAACTTCAGCTGCCTCTTCCTGATATTAAGCATAAGCCTCCTCCTTGTTTGCAACCTAAGATCTCATCATTGCTCACATGCTCAGTCCATGACATCCTTAGCATCCTTCTGTAGAACAACATCTCTGTTGCCTCGAGTTTCGTCTTCATCTTTGAGGAAATCGTCCAACATTCACTACCGTAAAGAAGGACAGATGTCATGTACCAGCTCAGTATTCTTTTCTTTGTTACCAAAGATACCCTCCTATCTTGCAGTACTCTGCCCAACTTTTGGAATGTGTCCTTGGTCATCCCAATATGCCTACAGATCTCAGTGTTGCACTTACTGTTCTCTGTCAAGAGTCAAGACGCTTCCCCGTCTGCTTGATTGTGTTCCCGACCTTCAAATTGCATTTCGGGCTCATCCTCTTACTGATGACCATTCACTCCATGAAATAATAAATGTACATACATGAAGTAGAAAGACCCGTAAAAATTTCACGGTTTTCCTATATTCGAACTTAACAACTTTAAAAAAATATTGTAATAAAATTTTTTTCAATCATAAATTAATGCTGGTTCTTATTTTAAGAAGTGGGTACAAATGAAAAGATTTTAAATTAGAACAAATGAATAATTAATTTTTTCTAAGTGACCGAGTACCCCTCACAACAAGCTTGATAATTTATGACGCTAAAAAACTAACAAACAAAATTGTCAAAAAAATAAAAATTAAGAAAAACGAAGTAAAAAGTGGGCTACGGTACACGTGTTCCGATATTTTAACTGAAACATTCGCATAAACAATTGAATCGTTTTTTCTGGTTTTAAGTTTATTTCTATGAACTCTCACGTCAAGAAAAAATATAAATCAAATAATATTTTTTAACTGAATCAATTTGTTTGGCCGCAAACAAAAATCGAAGAACGAGTTCGGTTGGTAGGCAAACAATGTGATGTAGTTTTACAAGCCGATATTCAATTCTTAATTAACTAAAATATTTTACCATCATTAAAAAAAAAAAATCCACACATAATTTCAGTCAATTTTCTTCGAAACAATAGTTTAGTTAAAAAAAATAATAGCTTTCACGATTGTTTAAAAATAAATTTTTTAACTAAACTTTAACACAACCGGTAAAGCTTAAAAAAAACAAACAAATTTCTACACAAAATCATTATTTACGATTTTAAAATCTTTTCTATTCTCTCTCTAGAATATGTAAATAATCATAAACATGTGTAAAAGATATTTTTTTTTGCATGTATAACAAATCCGACGTATTTTGGGATGATTTACTTACCGACTACAAATTATATATCCTTTAAAATGCGAGCGTAAATATACGCGAAACACGCCGCTTGGGAGACTTTTTCTGATTTTCTGACTGAAGAGTTACACACAACCAGAAGGACAAGGTTGTTTGATTTAGCACCGAGGCTGTATATACCTATCTTTTTGGATTCGCTTTGTTTGGTACGCAATATCGATAAATCTTCAATATATATATATATATATATATATATATCATATATCATTGTTTCAGAAAAAAAAAAATCCCTACTTTTCTTCATTATATGAAAGACTACACAAAGTTGGACTCTGGTCCATTCCCTGTCGGAGAGCACATTTTCTTTATTAAGATTTCTTGAATGAGCAGGAAAAATGGCTCATCTATTTCAAATCCACTAAAGTTTGAAGTAATTTAATTATGTACCTCCAATTCAAATCCAAAAATAACCTACAATTCATTTAAACACTTAAGTTAATAATAGCAATAATAATCCACCCTAACCATACAATATCTTACGATAACTAGAAGTATAAGCACTAATAAACAGTGTTGTAAACCCAAAAATTGTACCTGAGGATAGCAGATGTCATGAAACTGCAAGTTGTGAAACCAGTGTAGTGTATTATGCATATTTTTTAATATATTAAACTGTCTGTTATTTAACAGTAACACTGTTTTCTCTTACACTAGGGTAGTGAAACCCGGATATAAGAGAGATTTTCTCTGGTCCCAAATTAGAGCCTGTGTTAATGTATATAAAATAGACCAAACCCGGATATAAGAGAAACCCGGATATAAGAGACTAATTCTCCGGTCCTGACAACTCTCTTATATTCGGGTTACAATATATATATATATATATATATATATATATATATATATATATATATGTTTGTATTCAAACGCTTGCTCATGCATTTACCTATATTTACCCATTTGATTATATATATATATATATATTTAGTTTATGAAAAATTAGGTAATCCGTATGGGTAGACCCAAGGAGGATAAAATCCAGAAAGCTCAATGTAAATCCAGAGCAAATAATTTAAATAAAAACAGGCCACTTTAAGGTTCCATGTAATAAATTATTTCACCACAGCCCTTTTAAAGGACTGCGGATCATCAGACTTTACTTCCAAAGGTTGAAACAAAAAAATGATTACATAAATTACAGAATTTACACATTTTTGACGGGCCGTATTAAACATATGTAAATTAATGAAGTGAGCGGGAGAGAGAAGACATGAGTGAGTTAACAGACATTGACACATTTAAACGGTTAACTTAACGGAAGTTATATATTGATATCGAAGGGTTACAGGAGAAAGAACACATAAAAAGAAAAAGAGAGAAGGAAGTCATGAGAGAAGGTGTCACTAATTTTCTTTGGAAAAAAAAACAGGCTTGTAAAAGACACTGTCATTTTGTTTTACTTTGAAAGTGCTATTTTGGGGGTTCATAAAGATTATAATGTTTGATATAAATTTGAATGTCTAAACTGTCTACAAAGAATTTAATTTGATGATGTTTGTTAGTGATTTAAATTTTTTTTATAAAAATTTTGGGGATTTTCTATGAAATAGTCAATTAGAAAAATATTCATAGAAAGTACATTAAAAGAATAAAAATTTTATTTTAAAATATAAGTTTACTTCTAGTAATCTTTTTTATTTTTTTAAAAACTTTTTTATTATTGATTATTAAGTTGACATCTTGATCCGTTTGAATTTTGTTCATGAGTTTAACTCGTGACTGTTTCTAGATAGGTAATCTCTTTTTTATATATTTTATGTATGAGTGGACAGCGTTATGGCAGAAATCTCTTAACTCCCTGTCGCAACTTCACTCCGACTGCAACTGCAACTCCAACTACTTTGGCCTCCCTTGGGCACTTGTATTTATGGGTGTCCCTTCCAACTGATGTAGTGCGGGCAAATAGGTGGGTTTTATACAAATCTCCTAAAATTCAACCAATCTCTTTCTTTCATTTTCTATTTCACACTTCCAATTTTGGAAGATCTCCTCCTCTTTCGGGAGGAGCCATTATATGATGTCAGCCTTCCTGATGTCATCTTCTGCCTTTATTCTGTTTTCATAGTTATAATTTTTTCTCAGGGAAATTTTGGCTGACAATTTTCACAGCACAAACATCGGATACCTTTCAACAGGCAACCTTAACCTCTGGCCCCTGAACTGGCACCTATTCGTTGTCTCTCGCCAGGCAATGACAATGGCATTCTGTATATTTTTTTCAACAAAATTCATATATCTGTTCCAATATCCTAGGAAAATAAGTCTCTTTCTGACAAAAAAAAATAAAATCGTTTTGTTTAACCCTTTTCATCCGTATACCATGTTAAATATTGTTACAGAATCACATTTCTGTTACCTCAAGTCTTTTCTTCATTTGTGAAGGGATTGTTCAGCATTCACTGTCATATAGGAAAATTGATATTACATAACAGTTAAGTACTCTTTTCTTTGTTTCTAATGAGATTTTCCTGTTTCTTAATACTTTGCTTAGCTTTTTGGAAAGCATCTTTCATTATCCCAATGCAACTTCAGATTTTTGTGTCACATTTTTGGTTCTATGTTAAAGCACTTCTTAGATATTTAAATTGTTGTACCTGATTGATTTTGGCATCTCCAATTTGTAATTTACATGTTGCGCTGTTTCTTTTGCTAACAACCATGCATTCTATCTTCTTACAATTAATGTTTAGTCCTTTCTTCTTCCTCTCCTTTACTACCTTCTGTAAGAGTTCCTGTAGTCTGCCATCAAAACCATGTCATCTGCATATCTTGTTAAGATTGTAGGTATCAATAATGAATCCTAGTAATAATTCTATTTCTTTCATATACTTTGTCATAAAACTGACATAAATTTTCTTTGTTATAATTAGCAAACAGTATATTCTGCCTTGGATTGTTTAATGTCATGCAAATGGATGGTCAGTTAGTGGATTTTGTTTAGCAGTATATCATCCTCTATGGATTGTTTAATGCCAAAATCTAAATATTTTTGTACATAATTTTATGCTTTCAACTACAAATATTTTGTACATAATTTTATATATTCAGAGTAAACATGTTTTTCAGATATTATTAAAATTATTTTTTTCCACTCTGAGTAAATTTGAATTTGGGGTTGAACCCAGTTGCAGTTCCACCTCACTGGGGAGCAGTTTTTAGACACAATATAACATGTCTACATTCTTCGACATGTAAAACTTAACTCCCTGAAATCCCTTTCTACATCCAACATTCCCACACTAGTTTTAACCAATCAAAAACAACTTCCTTTCTTTTCTTGTATCTGACCTCAAATGTCAAAATGAGGAAGTCAGAGGAGAAATACAATTCTGTAAGAATTAATAGTTTGTTAGACTATTATTTATCAAATGTATTGCTGGCATTTTTACTATAAAAATGTATTTTTATACTTTTATAGTGTTTTGATTCCAGTTTGGGGGTTAACTATTTGCTCATAGCTGGGACCCTAGCAGGTGCTACCACCCCACGTCAGGGCGGACCTGATAATAACAGCAATTAAGAAGTGGTTCCACACCCCTGAAAACCTCCTGATCGGAGGCCTTGCTGTCAGATGTAGTTTATCATCATACCCAGGACAACTGGGATTAATAGTCGATTTCAAGATTGGCCTTTTCCTAGAATGACTTACAATGATTTACCATTTTCATTGACACAGATCAATTTTTTTATCAATGTTTCCTAGACCTCAGCATTTATACCTAGAGTTTTAAGATTGTGTTTAACATCATCAAAACAATTATTTTAATTTGGTTTTAATTTCTTTTAAAAATTAAAAAAAAGGAAACTTAAGAGGTTTAAATATTAAATAAATTAATTAATACATAAACAATTAAACAAAATAAAATAAAATACATTGAAATAAATAATAATTACATAAAAAATAAATTAATTAAATAAAATATAAAAAAATAAAATTAAAAAAATAATAAAAATTCAACAACATTTACTCAGTTTCAAATATTAGGCAATAAATTACATCACTTAGCATCTTCTATAGTTAACCTTTTAGGTGACTCTGTCATCCAGGGTGTTTTTATATTAAAAATTCGAAGGTCTGAATTTCAAACAATAATAAAATAAAAATAAAGAAAGCATAAGTATGCCTGTTAAATAAATCAGCAAACATGGATAAATGTGTCCACAATGAGACGTACTGTCAAAAGGATGGGTTTTCCTATCACACTGCCATTTTTTTTTTAACTATCTTCATACTTCAACAATTTTTATTGCTTTAAAATGTGATGATTAAAATTAAAATAAAGCCTAAACATATATTGCAAGTGAATTTATATATATTTTTTATTCTTGTGAATTTACAACAAAAATATTAATATTTATTTATTAGATTGTTTATGTTGGTTCCATTCTGTATTGGAATGACTGAAAAACACTAGTCCCTCCCCATTTTATAAGCAGAAGCACACAAATACATACTGGGATTTTTTCCTAACCAATATAATAGACCCATTCTCAGTTTCATCTGACTCAGTCCTGGTCTGTCTTGTCCCCTTGTCCAAACTTGCTTTTGTGTGTCAACCCCAATTCTTAGTTTGTGAACATTTTATCATATTATTGTTGCTTTGACTTATTACTGTTAATTTCTTCTAGCATAGATTCCCCTATCCAGGTTGTCAACCCAAAGTCCTCTAAACCCTGAGCTTACATAGCCAGCTCCTGCCACCAGCTCACCTCAAGGCGGATCCTGATTAGCTTAATACTGTTGCTATGTAGATTATCTACTAGTGCCACCATTCTCAATCTTTCTCTTCTCCAACAATGCAATTGGTCAAGGGGAGATAACTCAATGATCTCAACAATATTGTTTGCTTGTTTTTATATTTTTTTACCCTGTTCTTTTTTCTTTTTCTTGTTATTGCAAACATTGTCAATTCTGTTTGTTGGACAGTTCTGTTACTTATTTTGCATTTGACCATGGCTGCTCACTCTACAGTTTATTTACAAGAATGTTTTAGTATCAGTCTATATTTCTGAAATGAGGTATTATGTACACTATTTACATTGTTCAGACTGT